TAACTGCTTTAATATAAACAGACAAATGTTATTTTGACATTTTAGTGTTCCATTTCTAGGCTAAATATCATGGTTTTTTCAAACAGAAATGAGGGGCTGGACTCTGGAGACTGTCCAAAGACTCAGTCAATGGCATATTGAAGCCCGCAGGAACTTCATGCTAAATAAAGCTTTCAGGAGACCTTTCTGGTCTAATAAAAACACATTATCTCTGTCTATAGAGAGAAGAATGTAAAATTAGCCTGAGGATGGATTGAACCACAAACATATGGCCTTTCAATTAATTTCTACTGATTCTGATTATTACAATGTTTTTCCCCTGTTTTATAATTTACATGAGTATAGATATTTATATTAGTATAAATGTAAAAATGTAAAGATTTTTGTGAAAAAAAAGCAGCAGCAATGATATTTTGTAAGGTTTAGTCACAGTGCTGAGATTGAGTTCTGAAACTCAATTAAAATCTAAAGTATACAGTAGATGATGCTATGTTTGCTTTAAAGGAGTTGGTTCACTCAAAAATTAAGCTTATTGTCTTCAGTCGAACATAGACAATTTTCACATTTCCAGATTTCTTAGTAGCGCAAGTCGTCATAGTAGAGTAAACGTAAAACACAGTGAATGGGAGAGTACAACAAATCATTTTTTACAGTCCTATTTACTGAAATAATAAAATAAATCTCCATGAGGGTGTTATACAGACTTTCAGAAAAAAGAAATGTGCAAGACAGATAACGGCAGCCGGAAGAGAGAATAATTTCAAATTTACTGTCCTGTCCCCATAGACACTGCATTACAAACGCCTCGTACAAGTGGTAATTCAATTTTTGTAATTTGATGCAAAGATGATATAATACATACATATATACATATACAATTAAAGTCTGAATTATTAGTCCCCCTTTAAATGTTTTTTTTTTTCTTTTTTAAATATTTCCCAAATGATTTTTAACAGAACAATGAAATTTTCACAGTATGTCTGATAATATTTTTTCTTGTGGAGAAAGTCTTACTTGTTTTATTTGGGCTAGAATAAAATCAGTTTTGAATAAAAAAAAGACATTTTAAGGTCAATATTATTAGCCCCTTTAAGCTATATATTTTTTCAATAGTCAACAAAACAAACCATCGTTATACAATAACTTGCCTAATTACCCTAACCTTCCTAGTTAACCTAATTAACCTAGTTAAGCCTTTAAATGTCACTTTAAGCTGTATAGAAGTGTCTTGAAAAATATATAGTCAAATATTATTTATTGATCATGCCATTTGTCATCATGGCAAAGATAAAATAGATCAGTAATTAGAAATGAGTCATTAAAATTATTATGGTTAGAAATGTGCTGAAAAAATCTGCTCTCCGTTAAACAAAAATCAGGGAAAAAAATAAACAGGGGGGCTTATAATTCAAAGGGGGGTAGTAATTCTGACTTCAACTGTAAACGTATACATGTTTTAAAAAAAAAAAATCTAAATATTAAGAACATTCAAGCATTTAAGATACCGATGAAATGCATCATAACGGTCTTGTGAAAAGGGTCCAAAAATTAAACCTAAACTGTTGAACACAAAGGAAGCTCTTCTGAAAATCTTATAATCCTGTAATCAAAAAATCCTGTAAATTGACCTCTATGGTATTTGTTTTTCCTACTATGAATGCCAATGGTTACAGGTTTCCAACATTTTTCAAAATATCTTATTTTATGTTTAACAGGAAAAAAAAACACTTGAAGGGGAGTAGTGAGGACATTTAGATTATTGGCTCAATAATCCCTTTATGGCATTCGGCTTGTGCTGATGCAGCCATAATGTACTGCTAAGAGTGTGATATTGTTTATAAACCTAACTAAAAAGATGAAATGTTTTGTTTGGTTATTTGCATGTCTTCTGACTTCAAAGACCCATGGACATGCAAACATGCACACCAAAAACTTCCAGGGTGTGAGTGAGAGGGGGTTTTAAACAAACCTAAAGTTTAATGCCCTGTTCAAACGACCAACCAAACTTTTTAACAATGTGGTTTCACTGTATGTCTACACAAAAATGCATTATCGGGTGACTGAAGCTAGGGGTGAAGATTAAACTCTAGATACACTGTGAACACTACAATATGGCAATTCCGCATGTTCATGCCAAGCAAATCACATATTCCACCGCTGTTCTTACGTTTACATTGACTTCTTTGCAATTTACTCAAGAAAATACTTAATTCCCTGTTTGGTGTGAGCCCAAACAGGGAATTATTTCAACCTGTTGATCCAGCATGCCCCTAACATGCGCACAGTTCCTTTTGATGTGGACTTAGATTTGTTTTTGTTTTTAAATTGTTTATAAACATACCTGTGTAGATATGGACATGGCCTAAGTCAGGGTTTGACTGATGTAAATCAACAAATAATCTATGAAGTTTGTGTTTAACACTACTGCTGTATTTATAACAAAAGTCTTGGCATTGATCTCAGTTGTAAGATCAACAAATAATAACTTGACTTAGCTGATTATTTGGAAAAGTGGCAGAAGGTCGATTTTTTCTGATGAATCATCTGTTGAACTGCATCCCAATCCTCACAAATACTGCAGAAGACCTACTGGAACTCGCATGGACCCAAGATTCTCACATAAATCAGTCAAGTTTGGTGAAGGAAGAGTCATGGTTTAGGGTTACGTTCAGTATAGGGGGTGTGTGAGATCTGCAGAGTGAATGGCAATATCAACAGCCTGAGGTATCAGGACATTTGTGCTGCCCATTACATTACAAACCACAGGAGAGGGAAAATTCTCCAGCAGGATAGCGCTCCTCATACTTCAGCCTCCACATCAAAGATCCTGAAAGCAAAGAAGGTCAAGGTGCTCCAGGATTGGCCAGCCTAGTCACCAGACATGATTATTATAGAGCATGTCTGGGGTAAGATGAAGAAGGAGGCATTGAAGATGGATCCAAAGAATCTTGATGAACTCCTGAAGTCCTGCAAGAACACTTTCTTTGACATTTCAGATGACTTTGAGTCATGGATGCAGTCCTCCAAGCTCATGGGAGTCATACGCAATATTTATTCTGTTTCCACTGCAGCATGACTTTATATTCTATACTGGACATTATTTCTGTTAGGTGACAAGACTTTTGTTTAAGCAAAGTCAGAGCTTACTGTCCTAATTAAATAATTCAAAATCAAGACATGATCATATTTTATTGTGGTAAAATAAGCATAATCTAGAGGCATTTGCTTTTCATATAAGCCACTTCTGATACCAAATGATCAACTAGAAGTCAAGTTATTATTTGTTGTTCCTAAAACTTAAATAGGCGACAAGATGTAGTGTATAACAATAGTGCTTTAGGCTGTTTAAGTCTGAATTCTTAGCCCCCATGTATTTTTTTTTCTCAATTTCTGTAATGGACAGAACACATTTCTAAATATAATAGTTTTAATATAATAGTTTTAATAACTCATATCTGATAAATGATTTTGTTTATCTTTGCCATGACAACAGAACGTAATATTTGACTAGATATTTTTCAAGATACTAGTATTCAGTTTAAAGTGCAATTTAAAGACTTATAGGCTAATAAGGCTAATAATATTGACCTTAAAATTCTAGCTGAAATAAAACCAATAAGACTTTCTCTAGAAGAAAAAATATTATAGGAAATACTGTGAAAAGATCCTTGCTCTGTTAAACATCATTTTGGGAAATATTTGACAAAAAAAAAAATCACAAAAGGGCTAAGAATTTTGACATGGACAAAAATGGTGTAAACTGTCGTCACAAAAAAATGAACAAGATATCGCAGAGAACCTAAGGCAGAAAAGTAGGTGCCATGTCATAAAAAATTATGTGAACATGCAAAGTCAAATGCAAATTTAGTCCGGTTATTCAGTGGACTTTTTTGTGAGTGGCGATCTGTCATGAGCTTGTTTCTAATCTTGTTTATATGGAATAAATGAAAGCACCTGCTGTTGACAGGCTCTATTTCCTTGAGGTCTGATTCCCCAAACAACTGTATTTTACTGATATTCAAACTAGCAGGGATGTAGCTATTCTGGAACATTCTGTACTATTTTTCAGTGTCACAATGGATTTTTGACTTTGCATACAGTGCTACTTTCAACAAAATATATATATATATATATATATATTTTTTTTTTTTCAAATAATCAAATGAATATGTTAACAAGCTGTAATAAATTGCACACTGTATGTAAAACATGAGTTGGCAATGCTTCTAATGATCCAGAATCATGAAAACAACCGGTTATTTCCTCAAATGTCCATTGTTATATATTCCAAGAACTAAACCGAGCCAACAAAACCTAAGATGGTCACACCATAAAGTTTATAGCATGAGCAAAACATGCTGCTTGTAAGCAAAATACATGCAAATGAAGACGGTTGTACAGGAGAAATAAAATAAGCAGGGTCATCTGAGGGTTTTGCACAGCGCCTTCGCTAAATACAAATTTACATTCTAACAAATCAGATGACGTGAATGTCCAGAACGCCTGCGATGGTGCCCCCTGATAACCGATAATACAATGTATGAAATAATACTAGTCGTGTTTACTTATGAAAAAGAGGTTGCAGGTGGTTTTGTGTGGTTGCATATGGTCTTGAACAGACAAAGTCTAATCTTGGTGATGTTTAGGCATCTTGATATTGCTCAGTGTACATCTGTGGGATTTATTATGGGTAAAAATGGTGAATATTTATACAAATTATGTTTCAGTTTTCCTATTTGTGTGTGAGACTGTAATTATTTGTGATATTTACAAGCATTTTCTGTGAGAATAGTTTCAAAGTAATTCCTAGGTTTATTTTAAACTACTATTATTCTGCCACACTTATAATACAGAGTCATTTTAGCTCATTTTTTATTCTTTTAAAACTTGGAGACATTTTAAAGATATTTTAAGACACTTTTAACATGTTAGCTACAAAAGAGACATGTTTTAGTTATTATTTACTGTACAGAAAGCTGTTATGAACCACAAGAAGCCATTTTATTAGAATCATATTAAAACAGATGTCTACTGATACACTTGAGTCATGTGATTCAATAATGCAAATCAGAGGAGTTATTGGAAATGTCATTTCATCCTGTCACGCGGTCAGAACGGCCACTTGGAGCTTTTTTGAAAGTGATCACTGCATTACAATTGTTCCTCAAATTCATGGATCAATAATGCTGAAAGGACTTACATGGCAAAGAGGTATGTTTAACTTTTAATTGATTTAAGCTATTGTATAAACTATTGATAACATGGGTTATTGTGCAATACTGTTCAGTTGAGAAGTCTCTTATGCTCGCCTTTTTATCTTGGATGGCAGATGATCCTTCAGAAATCATTCTCATATTCTGATTTGAAGCTTAACTGCGTTTGGTGTTAAGTTATTAAAATGGTTATTAATGTAAAATCATTTTGGGGCTTTGCAATAGAAAGTTTATTTAAAGAAATGCTTGGTTGTAGTAACCCAACATTGCGTCAATTATTAACAAATTGGCTGTACAAAGTGTAACAGTGTCACTTTATTTTAAGTGGCCTTAACTAATTTGCTCTTACAGAGAAATTAATTATTTGTTACAAAGTACTTATTGTGTATATACAATGTTATTAATACGCTTGACTAAATACCTGCATGTACAGTAAATGCATTTATTTACACTGTTGAACCATCCCTTTCACCTTAACCTTTCCCTAAACTTACCCATACCACCAAAGCTGTCCCTACCCATATCCCACCTCAAAAGCAACAGAAGTGTTCTGCAATTTATTATTGACACATGAGTACATTATATTATATTTTGATGCACCTATACAGTAGTTTAGGCAACTTAATATAAAGTGGGACTTAATTTACATTTAATTAATTAATTTAAACAATTGGTTTGTCCATCTTTTACCTAATGTTGGGTTACAACAAGCCAGTATTTTGACTGTTTATTTAAAGTATTTATTTGAAATCTAAATAATGTTCAGTACTACAAAGGTCTGTAAAGTCACTTCTGATGAACTTCACTGCTGAATTAATATGCTATGTATTAACAAATACTGTATACAGTGCTCAGCAAAATTGAGTACAGTCCATTTAAAACATTTCTCAGTGAATATAGGCTATGCATTTTGGTGCATTTAAACTAAACAGATTTCCTAAACAGATATATTTACTAAAATAATATTTTAGTCCCCAAACAGATATAGAAATTGAAAGATAATGCAATAAAAAAACTAAAAAAAAAACTGAAACCTATAAAATTTCAACTAAATGTTTTCAGTTTTTTGTCTCTTTAGATTTTTTGTTATTCATTCATTCATTCATTCATTCATTTTCTTTTCGGTTAAGTCCCTTTATTACTCTGGGGTCACCACAGCGGAATGAACCGCCAACTTATCCAGCACATTTTTCCATCACTGGGAAACATCCACACACACTCATTCACTACAGAAAATTTCTTGCTGTGAGGTGACAGCACTACCTACTGCAACACTACGTCACCCATTTTTTTATCGTAAGTTATTTTATTAGATTAGCTCCAGTTTTGGCTTCAGTACTAATCTACAGTTGAAGTCAGAATTATTAGCCCCCCGGAATTATTAGCCCCCCTGTTTATTTTTTCCCCAATTTTTGTTAAACGGAGAGATTTTATTTTCAACACATTTCTAAGCATATTAGTTTTAATAACTTATTTCTAATAACTGATTTATTTTATCTTTGCCATGATGACAGTAAATAATATTTGACTAGATATTTTTCAAGACACTTCTATACAGTTTAAAGTGACATTTAAAGGCTTAACTAGGTTAATTAGGTGACCTAGGTAGGTTAGGGTAATTAGGCAAGTTATTGTATAACGATGGTTTGTTCTGTAGATTAGTTTTCACCTTTACTTGGATAGGACAGTGGAGATTTTACAGACAGGAAAGTGTGGGGAGCAGAGATAGGGGAAGGATCGACAAAGGACCTTGAGCCGAGAATCGAACTCGGGTCGCCGTGAGCACCTTGGTGCTATGTGTCGATGCTATAACCACTAAGCTATTTGCGCCAACTAAAATGTTTTTTAAAAATTTAAAACTACTTTTATTTTAGCCGAAACAAAACAAATAAGATATTCTTCAGAAGAAAAAATATCAGACATACTGTGAATATTTCCTTGCTCTGTTAAACATAATTTAAGAAATATTTAAAAAAGAAAAAAAAAAATCAAAGGGGGGCTAATAATTCTGACTTCAACTGTATATGCACAAATTTGACATAGTAAAGCTTCCTATTAAAATATTAATTTAAAAGAGAGATTTGTGAGGGGTGTACTCATATATGCTGAGCACTGTACATACATATATATAGTGTTTGATCAAATTACAACTAAAAATGTATGATTTGGAGTCTTTAAAACTTATTAATTTATAATAAAAATATATTAAATCTCCAAAAAAAAAAACAGGTCTTTTCTAAAGAGGTCTTATTTTTCCTTTCCGTTCATGTATAGCTACCCACTCTGGCCAACACCCAAACAATTACCAACAATCCAACTTAATAAAACTTGTATTTATTTATTTTATTTATAAATCTATTAACTATAATAATAATTTTCTTTACAATAACATTTGTTTAAAAGTTCTCCATGCATTTACTGCTGAGGACATTGACCCAACCTTTATTATTATTATTATTATCATTGTATTATTAAATGTATTAAGTTGGAATAGGTTTTTTTTTACTGAGCCATTCAAAAATTGTGTTTAGCCATGTATAAATCTAAAATTTCAATCATAATGGCCTTAAAAATGACTTTAAAATTCTTACAAATTTCTGAGCAAACCCTGTTACAGTAGATTTTGTGTACTTGAACTATTTGAAATATTTTTTTAATTCTCAATTTCAAATAAAATAAAAACTACAATAAAATTATTTATAACAATAAAAAAAAAATATATATATTTATTTATTCATTTTCTTTTTGGCTTAGTCCCATTACTAATCTGGGGTCACCACAGCATACTGAACCGCCAACCTATCCAGCATATGTTTTACGCAGCGGATGGCCTTCCAGTCGCAACCCATTATGGGAAGCATCCATACAAACTCATTCACACACACACACACACACACACACACACACACACACACACACACACACACACACACACACACACACACACACACACACACACACACACACACAATAAATGGTTTACATTAAATACATAGTTAACAAGTGTTGTGTTCAAGAATTTAGTTAGATTAATGAGGTGTTTATAAGTCAATCAGGGGTGCGTTTTCCAAACAATGACGTAACTCGTGGCTGAATGATGTAGTGACGAGTTTTTCCCAAAACCCGTAGTTTCTTAGTCACAGAACCATCATTTGAACCACGTTAGTTATAACGTAAAATGCCCCATAATGAAGCTCTAAATGGGGAAAACCCAATAATTTATTTTATTGTTAATTTCTTTCTGTGCAAATTATATTGTTTTACATGCACACGCATAAAAAAATCCAATATTAGTTTTGATAAAAACATGCACTTATTTACCATATTAATTTAAATTGAAATATGTAAATTGCACATATAGGGCCTGTGTTTCCTTTACAATTATTATTGAGAATATTCCACATTTTATTCTAAATTAACATAAAATCACTTAAAAAGTTAATACGTATTCTAATATCATATATAAATTATATGAAAAAATAAATAATGAGGTGATTTATTAAGAAATAAATGTAATATTTTTCATTTATTAGAAAATGAAAAAAATCCTACTTTAATAATAATATTTATAATATTAATGATGATGAAGAAGAATATTATTATTATTATTATTAAGTAGGATTTTTTTTTTTACTATTTAAAGTCTACTTTTACAATTTAACACATGCAAACCACAGCAGGAAGTTCTAACCAGCAGACCCATGTCATATGCAGTACAGATACTTAATAAATAACCTACTATAAATTAAAAGCATTAAAGTATGCTGTGTTTTTTGTTTTCACAAGCTTTGGAGACGTAACATAAATTCCATTTTTAAATAATAGGTCACCTATAGCTTTTGTCATTTGCAAAAGAGAGTTGTAAAAGAAAAGGGAGCGCAATTGTAAACATGAAGATCGCTAAAACTGTAAAAATACTTTGAAAGCAAATTACACCTAAGAGTGATGACTTTAATGCTTTATATATATATATATATATATATATATATATATATATATATATATATATATATATATATATATATATATACACACACAATTCCAAGTTTAAATGTTAGAATGTTCTAAATTAATAGGGCATAGGGGGATAAGTGGGAAGAGAACACAGTGTAGTTGCAAGCATTCAAGTTTGCGACACAGTTTGTGAATGTTTGTTGGAACGACGGATTTGGGAAACGCCAAATCAATAAACTATGTTTGTACAGACGGAACTTGCGACCTTAGTTGGCTAACGATGGTTTTCGGAAATGCACCCCCACTTTGGCTATAAGGATAAGCATTTACTGACTAATATAGAGTATTTATGTTCTTAAAGAACTAGAACTGTATAGTAGACAAACTAGCACAGTTATTACTGACTTTATGGATGCTTGTAAAGCTTTTGATAGTATTAACCATCCAAAGTTGTTCAGTAAATGAATGCAAAGTGGAAGACTTAAAAGCATGTTAAGAATCTTGAAATATTAGTACACTAATCAAAGTATGCACAAACAGCAGCATCATGTCAGATTTATTTATTTAGAATACGTAATGGAGTGTGAGAAAAAGAAAGGCTGCTTTTTACTGTCTATACTGTATGGAAAGATTGTCGGATTAAGCCGGATTTAGAATTAAGTGACTGTGAAATTGAATGTATGATTGCTAATAAAACAGTCAATCGCAGTTGTTGTTTTTTTTTATCTCAGAGTAGTGCCATTATTTGACAGACATGTATGGATTATGAGATTAGATGATGTGCAATATAATACAAACATGTTTTGGCATGACATATAGAATCAAGGGAGATTGATATCTTAATTTCTCATATCCAGTATATTTATTAAATGCCTACTAAAACAATCTATTAGGGCCATATGTGTTAACAAAAAAAAAAAAAAAGAGTGATGATGATATTTGTATAGTCAGTGTTGTGCATGTTTTACTGCAAATGTTAGTGTCAAAATTTGTATGTGTTCTTATCAGGTAGATCTTTTTAGAAGGTATTTTCCATGTTTGGACAGCATACTGCTTCCTTGTGGGTTAAATTTAAAAAGATAACCTAATAAGGTTGCTTAAAATGACTGTATGAGGATCTAATGTGTCAAATTCTAGGCTCAATATAGTATTGTGCCAGTCTATTTTGTTTTAAATGTGTGTGTGTAGCTTGTATTTCTTACATTGTGGAGACCAAATGTCCCCACGGGTATAGCAATACCAGTAATTTTTGACCTTATGGGGACCTTTTATTTTGGTCCTCACAAGGAAAAAAGTTCATAAATCTCACTTATTTTGATATGAAATAAAATGCTAATTGTTTCATGTGAGGGTTGGGTTTAGGGGTGAGATTGGAGGATAACATATACAGTAGAAACATCATGTCTATGGGAAGTCCCCATAAAGATAGCTGTGCAGGTGTGTGGAAGTTTTTACAGAATATATAGAGCTGCACTGTTTTTTTTAAATTGATTATGTCAGAAATGTTTCTTGATTATTAAATCAGCATGCAATATATGATTTCTGAGGGATTATATGACTGGAGTAATGATGCTGGGAATTCAGCTTTGCATCAGCTATTTATTACAAATAAATCACTTATAAATTTATTCATAATTTAATACATAATTTAAATAAAACTAATATTTTACAAAATTGCTTGTTTCACTGTATTTTTGCTTTAAATAAGTATAGACTTGGTAAAAAAAAAACACACCTCTGAATAAATAAATGAATGAATAAATAATCCAATATTTCAATTAGTAATTTAAATAAATGCACCTTGCTTTGCTCATATTATATTAAAAAGTGTTTTGATCACTTATATTCATCCACTGGCATATTCTACTGTGGACACGTTTGGGGGGTGGAGTTCAGATTAAAATAGTTTGTCACACTTGTAGTACAAATATGCGGTTTTGTTTCATAAATACAGTATTTACTTTCTTCATCATTTGAAGTGGTGGTGAAGATTTCTATTTTATTTATTGACATAGGTTCAGTTTACTTCCACACTGTAAAAAAACATACATAAATTTGCAGTTTCATCAAGTTTTAAACAGATTTTACCACACTGGCAAAAGTTAACAAAAAATATCTGTACATTTTTCCATATTTTGTGATTCATGTTGTGTTTTTTCCTGTTTATTTCTACTTTTGAATTGCATTATGGGAGCTTGATCTTTCTTCCAACTACTTTTAACCTTGAAAAGTTTGAAAAAGTGACTTTTATTAACATTTGTAATAGTTAAAAATGATATATTGTCTGGGTTGGGGTATATTACGCTACCAAAATTTTGTAACAAATGGCCTTTACATTTTCTGTTTCACACTTATTTCTCTATTTCAGTGGTTCTCAAACTGTGGTACATGTACCACTAGTGGTACGTGAAGGAATATGTCATATATACATGCAAAATATATTTCAAATATTTATAACAAATGATGTTTATTTGCTGAAATTCTTATTAAAATCCGTTTTATTTGTACTGTGCAAAATACATCTGTAAGCTTTTGTGCATGTTATATTTATATTGAAATGCGGAAAACAATAAATCGTTGTATAAGTACTGTAATATTTAAACAATTTCCCGTTTAAAATGCTTAAAGGTCATGTGACCATCAGGAAGAGCGCATGCATCTTATTTCTCACAGGACACTTTCTGTGTTTTCGAGGTTTTCTGAGCTCGTTCTTCCTAAGTGACCTGGCAAGAACAGTCCTCACAACAATGCAAGTCCGTTGTCTGCGTTCTTGGAATTGAGAAACAGCCTGAATCCTGGAGGGCCGGTGTCCTGCAGATTGAGCTTTAACCACAATTAAACACACCTGGACCACTTAATCAAACTCTATCTAGGTATACTACACTGTTAAACCCAGTAAGTTATGGTTACTCAAACCATTTGAGGAAAACGACTGCAACAAACCATTTAGGTTCAAAAACTAATCCTAATGAGTACTGTGAACATAATCCATTTGAGTAAATGAAGCAGTTTGAGCACAGTAATACCCAATAAATAAAGAGAACTCAAACCAACTGAGTACTGCAAAACCCAATAAGTGAAGGCAACTCAAAGCATTTGAGGAAATCAATTACTACAAACTATTTGAGTAAAAAAAAAACAAAGCTATATAAGTACTGTGAACTTACTCCATTTCAGTTGAAGTAATGAGGTATTTAAATAACTCATTACCTTCAACACTGAGTTAAAAACTCTTTTCATATGAGTAGAATTAACTTTCAGTCAATTTTGAGTTAACTATACTCATTTCATTTGATAAAGTTGACTGTTGGGATTCACAGTGTAGAAACTTCCAGACAGGTGCGTTTAGGCAAGTTGGAGCTAAACTCTGCAGGACATCAGCTCTTTAGGACCAAATTTGCACTATAATACTCTTATTCCTCTTCTGAGATCATTTAAAGCCTTTAAAGCTGGACTGAAATTGTAATTTTAAAGTTCAGACTGATAGACATCAACTATACGGAGGAAAATCCTTGAATTAAATTAAAACCTAATTTCATTTGGGAGTGGAGAAATAAAGAAATAAACATCTTGTGTCACAAAAGGTTGAGTCAACTATCAGGACATTTTCACTGTGGTAGTGACTTTTAAATAAATATCAATGATAAATAAATCAATATATTACTGATGAACGAAGGTGTACTGATAAATAACCCCACTTTGTTCCATTCTGCAGAAACTGATGGGAAAATGAAGCTGTATAAAGGTGTCCTGCTGCTTTTTCTGGGACTGTTTATTAAGGTGGGTTGAAGCTTTATTGTTTTAAAATGTATTTAGTTATAATCATTCCCTTCTTCATCATTAACGCCAAATCACTTTTGTTTAATAGGTTGCGGTGGCAGGTAATTTATAGATTTTTTTCTAATTATTATTGGGAATATTCAATTTTATAACATGCATTTTTTCAAATTGCTGTTTGCATGTTGAGCAATGCTGTCACGCTTCTGTTTTCTAGGTACAGACAATTCCACACTGATATATTATATAGAGCTTGAATTCGAGTCAACGGTGGATGTGAATGTCACTGTGTTTCTGGACCAGCTGAAACGAATTGACTTATCAAAAGCAACTGTAAAACAATTCAACTCTACAACAAGTAAACAAACATTCATTCATTCACTTTCCTTTAGCTTATTTATCAAGGATCGCCAAAGCAGAAAGAACTGCTAACTAACAACTAGCATATGTTTTGCGCAGCGGATGCTATTCCAGCCACTACCCAAAACTGGAAAACGCCAATACGCTCTCACATTCACACACTCACTATGGCCAATTTAGTTTATCCAATTCACCTATAGCGCATGTCTTTGGACTGTGGGGGAAACCGGAGCACCCGGAGGTAACCCACGCCAACATTTAAACTCCACACAGAAATCGCAACTGACCCAGCCGGGACTCAAACCAGCAACCTTCTAGCTGTGAGGTGACAGTGCTACCCACTGAGCCACCGTGCTGCCTGTAAACAAACATCTCATACTTCAACATACATGCCAATATTATTCAAGCTGTGAGAAAGTGAGTTCAGATCATTTTACACACATTTCACCACCTTTGAATTATAAGATTCTTTCTGCATTCAGAGCATTTTGAGCAGTGATATTTTTTGCATAATGCACACGAAACATGTACACAAAAAGGCAAGGCAAGGCAAGTTTATTTATATAGCACATTTCATACACAATGGCAATTCAAAGTGCTTTACATAAACAAGAATAAAAGAAACAAGTAAAATAAAAATAAAAACAAATAATAAAAATGCGTAAAAACAAAACAAAACATAAAAACAGGTAAAATGATTCTAAAGGCATTGCAACTGTACAATCAGTGTTAGGTTACTTCTAAAAAGTAATTAATTACTATTTAAATCATTAAAATGGTATTTAAATAGCTTTTTTATTATTATGTCTTTGTATTTGTAAACAAGGCTCAAAACTATTTAAAATCCCTGTTAATCTCAATGCATAGACAATAAAAAAACTCTTTTAACTCATTAAATCTAAGCAAATTTTATTTAAAAAATGTGACAAAGGATAATAACCATTTTATCAAAACACAAAACATTTGAAAGCACATTTCAATATTTCATACATGCAATCAGGGTTCTGTGTTTGTGTCATGTGATTTCTCCATGTGCTCTGCTCCATTTGCTTCTGTTTATGTCATGTGACTCCTTTGTTCTATTTTCCCACCGTTTGTTAATGTTCAGCGTTTCCACCTGTGTCTTACCCCTTTATGTAATCCGTTAATTATGTCCTGTGTATTCAAGTCCTGTGTTTTGATCAGTCCAGCGTCTGGTTTTGTACTGTAGATGTGATGCCTGTGTTCCATGTTTCAGTTGTGAGTGTTCAGTTTGTAAAAAAATCCGTGTTTTGAGAAGTGAGAGTGCGAGATGTGACGCATGCACTCAAAAAAGGACACTCGCGAAACTTCCCGCCCTACTCATAATTCTCTCTTCATATAGCCATATGCCTATTACATATCCATAAAACACTGTGATATAACTGCGCTCGGATCGGATCGCTTTCTCACTGCAATCGAACCACTCCAGGGTCCGTTTTAATTGAGCCGAGACCACCTCATTCAAGCGATCTCGGAGCGATTACTTTGGTGCAGAACAGAGCGCGATTGCCCTGTTCACATATGCCAAATGAACCGCGCTAACTGGGCAAACGAGATACGTTCCGAAACAAAAGTGTAGGTGTGAAAGCACCCCAAGTAAGCTTAATCATTTTTACAAAATGTAAAGATGCAGTAGGTGATTGCCTTTAGAATTTGTTTTGTTGTTGTGCCGGTTGAAAGTGTCTCCACATTTCAATAGTAATGATTAAAGTAATTGTTCTAAATGTATTAATATGTATTTTAATAATCTGAGTAAGGCATAAGACTTTAAAATGTTTATCCAATTAAAATTTGTAGGGCCGACAATTACCATATATCTGATAAGTAGCCCAAACTGTCTGTCAGCAAATGTAGATTTGTACATCTGCGTACCCGTGCAGATCTGCTGTTTGCGTGTACACAAGATAGAGAAAGTGACAGTGGTAAAAACAAACGCTCAATCAAAACTTTCAAATACTGAATCAATATTGGAGCTACTTTTGCACACTGGAGGAAGGATGACATGACACCACGGGTGAATTATCTCTTTTAGACAAGTAATGTTCTGTTTTAAAACTCTTTTAGTCATGCAAAGCTGATGTAGATTGTGTTGTTATGAATGGGTTATAATTAGTGTTAGTATATTAGTGTTAGTATATTAGTGTTAGTATATTAGTGTTAGTATATTAGTGTTAGTATATTAGTGTTGTTAAACCACTGAAATCTTCCAGGAATAGATTGGTGTGACTATTTCCAGTTTCATAAGGGACCCTTAACAGCATCGATAATGTAGATTTTTATTTAGTTTAACAACAAAACCTCAGTAAATAGCAATATTTCGCCTAGCCTGCTTTACTGAGCTTAAGTTGGTTTTATATTCACATTGGTTATTTTTGAACAATAACAGCCTGTGATGTGCTTGCTATATTGTTTACCGCTACTCTGAATATTCAGTCTGAAATAGCATGTAAGTATGGCTTAGTAATGAGTGTAATTCCTGCACCCCGCCAGCCAACCACTAGGCATACAGTAGTTGCTTTAGGAAAAAGCGTGTGAGAGAGTGAGACCAGTGATCCTTGCATGCATGAAATATTGCACATTATGACAAGTTTTGCTTGCGAGACAACTGAACACGTGCTAGATACAATACTGTTTTTCATTGGGAATTGTAGTAATATAAAATACTATAAAGTTTTCTAGCTGGCAAATGGCATGATCTAGCGAGTTGTCTACCGTCATCTTTAAGGTGCGCGTTCATGATATCAGGAGGTGATATAGACGACAGGGGTGGGACTGTGTTTTAAAGGAGTTATGCTAATGGTTAGCGTTTTGCCAGATCACCTACTGCACCTTTAAGTTGACTGAATATAAAACAAGTTGTCCCTCCAGAGAACTTAAGAATTTTGTTGTTTCAACTCATTTTAAATAAGTAGTTTGAACAAACCGCAAAAGTCATTTATTTTAGCATATCATTTATTGACAAATTCTGACAAAATTGCTATTTTTTTTAAATAATTTATATTGTGCTGATATTCATTCCTTTATTTTCTTTTCGGCTTAGTGCCACTATTAATTTGGGGTCGCCACATAAGAATGTACCGCCAACTTATCCAGCATATGTTTTATGGAGCGGATGCCCTTCCAGCTGCAACCCATATCTGGGAAACATCCATACACACCCATTCACACCACAGACAATTTAGCTAACCCAGTTTCCCTGTACTGCATGTCTTTGGACTATAAGGGAAACGGGAACACACGGAGGAAACCCATGCAAACGCGGGGAGAACATGCAAACTCCACACATATGCGCCAACTGACCCAGCCAAGGCTCAAACCAGTGACCTTCTTGCTCTGACTGCGCCACCATTGTGCTGATATGATTTTATATATATGTAAATGGACATTTAATAACTTATCCGACACATGAGCACATGAAAACATAGAAATTGCAACAGTACATTTATTGTCAATCAGTAGTTAATATTACAAAAAAAAAATAATATAATAAAGAACTAAACAATGGAATGTGTCTGTTTGCAGATTGCAACTTGACTGAGACAAACAAGCAATGTCAATGCATGCCAGGATACACATGGAGTGATGACATGGACTGTACAAATGAGTGCGAGCTAAATATTAATACAACTGCAGTGTGTTTGTCTGGAAACAAAGGTAGAGTATTGATTAACATGTGCACAATACTTTTTGATGAAAGAAACAACGATCACTGAGTTCAATGATTTTTATTTGTTCCAGTAAGCATAGATGGAACTACTACAAATACAACTATGGATTGCAGCGTATTATGTGATCAAAGCAAAGTTAATAGTGCTGAGCACAAGGAGCTTCTCCAAACTCTAACTACAGAGGTTCGTACTGAGCTTTTCAACCTCTTTTAAACCTCTTTTAACCTCTTTTAAACTGCATTTAACAGTTAACTGGTTAATGGTAAGATGACAAATATACCTTTTTTATTTAGTATTTTAGTAAATAAATAAATGTGTATTTTCTTTTCCTTATGGCTTCTATTTCTTTTTATATATTTTTCAGCTTGCTAAACAATACAGCACATTGGATTATTTCAATTCTCTGGTTATCACCGGTTATGGGTAATCATGATAAACGTGCTACTTAATGCAGTTATACTTTTGCACACATACAGTACACTACATTACAAACAGAGAAATGGCAGAGAATGTTTTAACCCTTTACGTTTGATTTAAAGGTGGGGGAGTTTGGTCTTAAACTATACTGTGATCTATCTTGGTCCAGTTTCAATTGATGATCTAAAGAAAGTTGTTCTGCAAGTAAATAATACTAAACTGGTAACAAAAGGTAACATATCTTTTTTTTTTGTTTAAAATAATTTTCTTACTTAAAAAATTCTTAAATCATGAAGCATTTTCTAGACAAGCTATGTCTAAATTGAATGTGTGAGCATTAAATCGTAGCATTTCATGTGTGTAGCAATGTGCGAAAATTTAAAACTAAAAGAAATCTGCCAACGGGGCCATTATTGACATAATTGTTCATAAAGCAAGACGATAATTTTGACAATGTTTTGCTTGTCTAGAAAAGGCTTCTTGATTTAATCTTTTTTACGTATAGATCCTAGAAACAAGACTTTTTGCAATGCAGTAATACACAATTGCACAATCATGACTTGTTATTTTCTCCAAAGGTCTCATCGATATTAAAATAAATAACACTCAGCCGGTTGATATTTACTCCTCTGCAACTATAATTTGTACGCCACCACCGAATATAGAAAAGGTACCTGTAAAGTGGTACTTAACAAACAGCCAGAATAAAACCACAGAGATTACAAATGGAATAGAAGCCACACTGACGACGAACCAAAACACAATGATAAGCACCGTTCAGCTGAACAACTTTTCAGAAAGCTGGAAAGGTTTGTTTCTGCACACAACATCAAGACAATGAATATTTTTAAAGTACAGTGTATTAAGTTTCCACTAATATTAGCATCCATGGTAAATATATTTTGGTCTACTTTCAATAGCAGAGATTTATACAAGTTAAATATATGTGTGCCAAAAATATTGTTACTCCTGCTAAATCATATGAGCATTCATTCATTTTCCTTCAGCATAGTCTCTTTTTTCAGATGTTGCATAAGCAGAATGGGCCACCAACTATTCCAGTATATGTTTTATGCAATGAATGCTCTTGTAGCATCAACCCAGTGCTGGAAAACACCCGTAGACACTCATTCACACACACACACACACACTACGGCCAAGTTTTCAGTTTATTCAATTCACCTATAGCGCATGCCACCCAGAGGAAACCCACCCCAACACAGGGAGAACATGCAAACTCCACACAGAAATCCCAACTGACTCAGCCAGTGATCTGTCGATTTGTCCTAACTTGTCAGATTGCCCTACCTCCCATTCAAAAAGTAGGTAGCACATTTTGATGATGCAATATGCTACCCATCAGATTTTGCAATCAGTGTAAATTTTACTGGAGTAGTGTGATATGAAGCTGTAATATAGTTCTAACCTACCTGATCCCTAACCCCAACCTCAGAACCATACTAATACAGTGCTGGTAGCGTAATGTAGGATAAAATGTCAAGACACTAAGTCTCAAACCAGGGATCTTCTTGCTGTGAGGTGACAGTGCTAACCATTGAGCCACCGTGCTGCACCTAATTCATACGAGCCAAATAAGCACACTCCCACTAAAATTTAATTTCACCTAGGTGACTATATAGGAACATGAAATTCTTCAACCATAACCTCTCGTTTCACAGAGTTACATGTGCATATACAGTATACAGTGCTCAGCATATATGAGAACATCCCTCACAAATCAAGTCTTTCAGATGAATATTTTCTATAGGATGCTATTCAGTATTATAGTTGTGTATAAATTACATTAGAGTAGTCAGTACTAAAGCCAAATCATGGGCATGGGTTTCCCCCTGTTGCTCTGGTTTTCCCCACAAGTCCGAAGACATGCACTAGGTGAATTGGGTAAGCTAAATTGTCCGTTGTGTATGTGTGTGAAATAGTGTGTATGTTTGTTTCCCAGTGATGGGTAAATATGTTTTGGTTAAAATACAAATAGCTGTGTCTCATTTCAGAGGTTGCATCCTCTGAAGGATGCAGACTTCCAAGGTGAGTCCTTCAAAGTCCATACAGGCCAAACCGAGGGTTTTGAAATTAAGATAATGGATAAATGAGATGAAAAGATGGATCTAGTCACCTACCAACAGTAACAACTGCCGTTAAAAATCGGTAATAACTTTTATAATGACTTTCACTCAAAGTGAATTTAAAACTTGTAATAAGTGATTAGAAAGCAAAACAAATTTACAAAAACTGGAAATATATTCCCTTTGATCCATACATATACACATACAAACTTCTAAACTTTCTATAAAATCACTTTTAGTAAGACATTTCATACTACATCCTTTTTAAATGTATATTATAACATGGGATTAGATGTCCAAGAAAAATAAAACAATTCATACATTTACAACTTTAATCCGGACTTTTCTTTTAAAACATCTTGCCTTTAACAGCGCACAATGAATCTTGGGATGTTTGAATCCCCAAAGGTTCCACCAGTTGTATCCTTCATTACCTGGATGGATGCATTTGGTGGCTGCATTTAAAGGAGCTTTCAAATTTGTTTGAAATTGAATACATTCTTCAGAGGATGCAGCCTCTAAAATGAGAGTCAGCTAATGTCTTGCTTTGATAAGTGGACCTCAAAGAGTATTCTAAAATAATTATAAAAACTGCCACTCATGACCCTTTTGAAAAGATTCAATGTTGTGATAAAATATTTTGTACTGTACTGATTTGAAATGCAGAATAAATGATTTACCTCTATCTCGATTAACCACCTATCTATCTATCTATCTATCTATCTATCTATCTATCTATCTATCTATCTATCTATCTATCTATCTATCTATCTATCTATCTATCTATCTATCTATCTATCTATCTATCTATCTATCTATCTATCTATCTATAGGAACATTTAAATGCGTGTATGCAATATATGGCATAAGTCACACAGCAAGTGAACAGCTGGACGTCGCACTTTTGCCAAACATACAGGCTCTGAGTAATCCTCAGTTTCCTAACTGTAAAAGTCTATCAAGCACAAGCTTTAAAGTTTATTGTAATATTTCCGCCGACTCTGAAAATTACACTGTTACATGGAATCCCTCTACTTCTAGCACTACTGTTGGTAAGCATTTCTTATTACTATTTTTTTCTTAATGGGGTGGTCCAGAATGTATTTTTAAGGCTTGGATATGTTAATAAGATGCAAAGCAATGTGTGCTTATGTGTTCCTTCACTTGAAGGAAATCACGTTCCAGTTTTTCATAAATCTCATTTTGATTATATACAGCTACTCTGCTAAACGACTGTCATATTTCCAAGTTCCTCTGACAGGCCCACCCTCAAGTGACTCTGATTGGTCATCTGTCATAATGTGCTGTGATTCGCGGATCGACTCCACGTCACGCCCGTACAGGCACGCGCTTTTTGTGTAAACAGTCAACCTCATGCTAGCTCTCTAAAATAACATCTGACAAGTGTCTGTAATGAGTAAAAATGCGGTGCGGCTACCTCTAAGACAGTTTGCCATTGTGTGTGTGTGTGTGTATGTCGACACTCTGTAGACACGTGTAACACAAGAAGCGGATGTGCGCGGGACCGATGTTTATTTTTATTTTTCTCTAATGCTCGGATTAGGTTATTTTTCTGTAATATACAATGACACTGTTGACAGGAGAATAAAGCACAAGATGTGGGATGCGATCCATGTGACCCTTGATTGATTTTTCTGCTGCAACACGAGTTAGGCGAGTTCTCCTGTATTTTTTTAACTCAACGCGTTACACGACGTCTGTCACATATATTCAGAATATGCCTGTGTAAGTAACATGAACCGTTCACATATCTTTTTGCGAATCCAGCACTGAACTAGGGGAGATTCTGAAAGCTGTGTCTTGTCAAATCATGCTTGCTATGTATTTTATAGTTCTCTGGAACATAATTAATATTAAACTGAGCACTTCTGTCTTTGTGTCGTGTCATTTGGAAGCCCAAATAGAGAAACATAAGAAGCTCTGTGGAAATAGCAGGACAGTATTTTCTCCCTCTGCTGTGACATTAAAGCGCCTCTGGCCACGCCCCTTAAATGCGCAGTGTGTGTGCGCAGTAAAAGTATGTTTGTGATCTTATTGGCCCGGAAGAATTTTTTTTTGTAGTCCCAAAATGTGTACATTGTAGGCCTTTCTAAGCTAACTCTGTAAAAACCAATTTCTCCCTTTGCATTGAACTTTGAGCATTTTACATTCAGAGATGCTGTTTATGTTCACACAGCTTCTTTACACATCAACTAAAGTTTAAAATATGTTATCGTAGTGGACCACCCCTTTTAAACACAATCAGCATAAACAATGTGATGGAAAGATAAACATCTACAGTATGTACTGTTTTTCACATTTGATTTTAATTAATTGTACATTATTGCATTCTTTAGACACAACGGGGAATAGGATATCCTACATAGCATACGTGACCATATCTTGTAAATCTATAGAGACACTGAACTTTGCATGTACGTTCATCAACACTAGATCCAAAAACAACTTAAACAGAACACAAAATGTGCAGATACCAATCATTTATGGTAAGTTTTGTTTCTTTTTAACTTCTTGTCTTGTAAAAATTCTGAAGGGCACTTTTTATGAAGGAGACCGTTTTATCACGTTATGGTTTTCAAGTACAAATGACAAAACAGTGATTTCACATTTTCCAAATCTAAACAAAACAAATTCATCAATTACCAATAATCTTTACATCAGTCACAACTAGTGATGGGAAAAAAAAGTGCTATAAATAAACAGCATTATTTACAACAATAATTTTTTCAGTAACGAGTATTTTAATGAATAACTGTACTGGAAACAGAATGTACCTGATCTCAATTTAGAGCTACACGGCAAAGGCTGTGAATACTTATGTACAGTTGAAGTTGAATTATTAGCCCCTCTGAATTATTAGACCCCGTTTATTTTTTCCCCCAATTTCTGTTTAACGGAAAGAAGAATGTTCAACACATTTCTAAACATAATAGTTTTAATAACTCATCTCTAATAACTGATTAATTTTATCTTTGCCATGATGACAGTAAATAATATTTAACTGGATATTTTTTAAGACACTTCTATACAGCCCAAAGTGACATTCACAGGCTTAACCAGGTCAATTAGGTTAACTAGGCAAGTTAGTGTATAACGATAGCTTGTTCTGTAGACTATTGAAAAAAAAAAATTGCTTAAAGGAGCTAATATTTTGTCCTTAAAATGGTGTTTAAATTAAATTACTATTAATTATTAATTAGGCCGACGCAGTGGCGCAGTAGGTAGTGCTGTCGCCTCACAGCAAGAAAGGTCATTGGGTCGCTGGTTCGATCCTCGGCTCAGTTGGCGTTTCTGTGTGGAGTTTGCATGTTCTCTCTGTGTTTGCGTGGGTTTCCTCCAGGTGCTCCGGTTTCCCCCACAGTCCAAAGACATGTGGTACAGGTGAATTGGGTAGGCTAAGATGTCTGTAGTGTATGAGTGTGTTGGTGTGAATGTGTGTGTGGATGCTTCCCAGAGATGGGTTGCGGCTAAAAGGGCATTCGCTGTGTAAAAACGTGGTGTATAAGTTGGCGGTTCATTCCTCGGTGGGGACCCCCGATTATTAAAGGGACTAATCCAACAAAAAAATGAATGAATGAATGAATGAATGAATGAATAATTATTAATTAATATCAATTAATAACTGCTTTTATTGTAGCTGAAATAAAACAAATAAGACTTTCTCCAGAAGAACACAATATTATCAGACATACTGTAAAAATTTCCTTGACCTGTTAAACATAATTTCAGAAATATTTAAAAAAGAAAAAAAAATTCGAAGAGAGGTAATAATTTTGACTTCAACTGTACATGTGATTTTTTTGCTTTTTTATTTTGAATAAATTTGCTACAATTTTCAAAACTCTTTTTTCACATTGTCATTATGGGGTATTGTGTGTAGAATTTTGAGGAAATAAATAAACTGAATCCATTTTGGAATAAGGTTGTAGCATAAAAAATTGTGGAAAAGGTGAAGTGATATGAATACTTTTTAGATGCACTGTATATAACCTACACCTTCATTTTCCTTTAAAAATATAGGACAGTATTAATATTTACCTTACTGAGCCCAGAGCTATAAATGCTGTATATACAGATTCATGAAAGCATGTAAACTATTTGCTTTTTTTGAATGTTTTGTGGTATTAGTTAAGTAAAGTCACTGTCTATTGAGATAAAGACTGCAATAAAGCCCAAGAGTACTAACTTGAAAAAATTTATTAAGTCCAAAAAAGATTTTAAACCTTTATAATGTTTAATAACAAAATTAACAGTAAGCCGATAAAAACATCCCCAAATCAAAATAAATCTTTGAGCTTTATGCACTGAATAAATTGCTTCATGTGGCCTCAACAAATGTGCAAATCGTTTCTCAAAAGAAAAGAAATTTTACTATAGTACAAAACGTAGTCGCTTCTACAATAGACAGCGTGGCAGCATCTTACAATTAAATATTGTTTTTTTGAGTTTAGTCGAATGATTTTACCTGCAGAACGTGAACTGATGTCAATCATTTGTTGTTTAGCTGGAGGTGGGGTGTGGGTGTAGTGCTTCGCATTCAGTTTTGTTTTTTTGTTTATTTCAATGTCGTGTTTCTTTCAGTTGTTAAGAGTTTTACTTACACATAATAAACACCTAACAACAATACACTTCTTTTCTTCTATGAGTTCCAGTGTTTCCTCTAGGATTTTTTCCAACTGTGGCGGCAGGCCTTCTATTTTTTAAACAGATCTACTAAATACCTGAGGCATTATTTCAAATGACAAATGTCGTGAGTCCAGTATTAGAAGTCGAGATCGCATTTATGTAATAGCCCACAGCATGCGGATTTCTTTGCTTGCGCGCCAATTTCCTCTGCTCGTGCACAAAACTTCTTGCACGCCCCATCAAATATAAGTCGATTCAAGAGCGTGCAGATCTTCTTGAATGTCTCAAATAAACGCTGCTGAAGTTCGATTTAGTGCGTTTATGTAACGACCATGTCTTCAGCATTTATTAGATTTGCTAGGAATATTTATGAATGTCTCCAATACCTACAAAGCGATATTAACGCGTCCTGAAGTAAAGTGAAACGGCCATATGTCGTGTTTGCTGGCCTCACGCATCATGCACCTGTCAATCAGCCAGTCAGTCAGCACGTATCCTTAAAGGGTAAACATATGACACAACATTACTACGGTTACAGAAAAGTTTGCGCTGTTATAATTCACTTACCCTTTAATACGTTTTGGTGCGATTATTACCCGCTATTAAAAAAATAAAATGTTTTGAATGAGAAGCTGTAATGTAGCTTTGGCGGGATCTATTTGTGCGTGGCACTCTGCCATGGAAGAATGAATGTAACGGAAACCATGAGTTCAAAATAACAAGAATTCATTGCAAAAATTTAAGTCTCTGGCCTGTCATTGTTTCTGACTGTTTGTAATAATGACGGGCGATTCACGAATTAATCGTTTATTTTAACCGGATCATCTAAGTGAACCGGTCAAACAAGTTCATTAATTTGAATTGTTGACATGAAACGGTTTGCATTTTTAGTAGGTACTAACATAACAGATACCTCCTCTGACTCAAAATAAACCCATATCAGTTAGTAGAACAGTTAGTCAGTTGTTAGATTCAGTTACTAGAACAGCACACTGACTCATCTGCTGTGAGAAAAGAGACCTGATGATGATGACTGCGAGCCGACTGTCTGTTCCCTCGCAGCACGCTCGCTCATTGAGTGTGTGATTCAACATGACTAAGGTCATTTTTATCCCACAATATATTTTGTAAAAGTCAACTAAGCAAGGTTTTTTTTTTTTAGAAGTAACTCAAAAAATAATACTTATTTTTAAAAGTAATACCTTACTTTACTCACTACTTTGAAAATAATGCTTAATACTTTGTTAATTATAACGCGTTACCCTCAAGACTAGTTATTGACAATTAAATGCACGTTACTATAATTGAGAACACTAAAGCAGTTTTCATGCGAGAAGCGTCTTTCTCAGGCATAGGACCTCTCTTTCTCTGTGGTGTGTGTGTGTGTTCGGGCTATGGCGGGACACATAACCAACCATGGATGATGATTGGTGTGTCTGTGAATGTGTTGTAACTGAGAACGTGATGATTGGTTTATATAGAGAGAACTTCCATCATTTGCCAATCAGAGGCAGAGTAATGTGGGTCTTCACACAAGCACACGCACAGTCAGTCACACACAACAATGACCAGGAGTCAAAACGATGGCAAATCCAACAAGCTCAAGGGTAGCGTTTGTAAACTGGAAATATAAACACCACTTTTCCCTCGTTGAAGTGAAAGGCAGTGGAGATAAAGCCATGACGTCAAAGCAAATAAAACTTAATTTTTCTCCAGAGCAAACATTTATTACTGAGACGGATTTAAACAGAATAATATCTAGATATATAGTTAAGGATATGCTGCCGTTGTCTCTCACATTGTTCTACAACAACATTACAATAGTGTAGATTAGTTGACAATGCTTATTTTATGTTTAAGTTTTATGGTCAAAGCATTAAATTAAAATGCAAAATATTGACTGAACACTGAGAGCTGCAGATAAACAGTAAATAATAATGGCTGATTAATAATGATTATATTTTATAATTGGAATTACTTTTGTCAATTTTGAATTATATGCATGAATATCATACACGGCAATAAATAAACTGGGTGGCATTTCATTTTTGGGAGAGCTAATGTTGTTTTAAAATAATATATATTATTTATTTGTTGATGCAGCTTATTCAACAGTCTGTGATCCGGAGGGAGGTTGGCCCATTGCTAAAAGCGGTTATACAGCCACCATGCCTTGTGACAACTCTGGTGTTGGTTGGAGAACAAGAAAATGCAATGGCACTAGGTGGTCTACTGAAATCTCTACTTGTGTGAATGCAAATCTGTTTGACATCAAAACTGATGTACAGGTACTAAACTTTGGCAATAATTAACGCATCATTTTTATTAAAGGACAGATTTTTTCTAACACTTTTACTTCTAAAATAACAGGAATTAAATAAAGGTATTGGCTTCATAAAGGACAATGCAGACCAACTGTTCCAACGCATAAATGACTCGACCACTTTGAGGACGTTCACATTTCCAAATATTGAGACATCTGTAAACATCTTTGGAGTCATGAACGATGTATCTACACGCCAGCAAAATCAATGGAATGATACTGTCATGTCTGTAAGTGTTATTTCTTTGACACTGTAGGCCCTATCATATAACCGGCGCAATTAAGCGCAATACGTGTTCGTTACTATTTTCAGACCAGCACAACACAAATTTTCATGTTTTGCACCACATTGTTTAAATAGCTAATCCATTTGTGCCACTTTGTTGACTCATGGGTGTTCTGGTCTAAAAAGGAGGTGTGTTAAAGTGCATTCTAGGTGCGTTGCTATTTTGAGGAACTGAAATAGACTGCGCCATTGACCATCTAAAAGCTGGTCTAAAGTCCAGCACAGAGCGCGTTAGTTATGCACCTACAGTATGCGGGAAGAAACTTCGCTTACACAAGCTTAAATTTTTCATTAAATATTGCTTCATATTGCTTAATACAGAGGATGTCCAGCAATTCACAAATATCTTGTGAAAAAAATGAAAGGATTAAAATGCTACAAATATTATTATTTTATACATAAATATAAAAACACTGCCTCCATGCCTTCTTTAGCTCTTTTTTTAATTTATTCATGACAATTTGCATTTGTATAGTATTATTATTAGCAGTTATTATTTATTATATGCACATTTATATTTGAAAGTTCAGATGCAAAAACCTCTAAATCCATCAGACCTCTTCTCTTGTAAATGAGCATTTTCTATCAGGCTCCTCTTAAAAGGTTCAGAAGTTTCAATTTATATGTGATAAGGTTATTAGCCATTAAATAAAATAACCTTTTTTCAAAAATGTCACTTAAGAAAATTTATGTAAATTTCAAGTAAATTTTCATTTTGGTCGTAACCAGCTTAATCCACATCTGTTTTTTATGCAAAACCCTAAATCCTCCTATTGGAACAAGTTGAAATTAGTTGAAAATGAAGATGCCATTAGAAATTATTTTACCAAACATAAAACACAAACCACCAGAAATTTAAAATATATAAATCTGTCAGGTAAGTGGCGGTTCATTCCGCTGTGATAAACCAAGGAAAAAGCAGAAAGCAAAAGGAATTAATAAAATCTGTCAAGTAAGTGCATTAATCAAGAACATTAAAACTGACTTTAATTAAATCTTAACAATCTGTTGTCATTTCTGATATTCAGGATTTAGATTTAATGCAAGTAGAGCATTTTAAACATTGCAAACATTGTAAATTCAAATAATGTAGTGTTAAAACATTCCAAAACATCAATATCTTTACATTTTACATTAATATAGTAGGCTTATCAGACGTATGAATAATGAAGATAAAAAATGTCATGTTTTATACATTGTATTTATCTTTTAAAAATAGCTTAAATTAGCATATAAAACACAAGGTAGGCCTACTGGGCAAAAAGGGCATGCCTCTCAGACAATTTTAGAAGCTGTAATTCATTCATTCATTCTCACCATGCTCAAGGTCTTGGTCCCGTGTTTTTCCTCATAGCATCCACATGGGATAAAAGAATGGCATCTTAACTTTCGTGAAATGGAGTTGCAGTTTATTGTATAGTAAATTGAACTCATTCAAAGTAGCATCAATGCGCAAAAACACGTTATAAATGCATGTTACACTTCTAACTAGACATTGTGTTTTCCTTTTCTTATAATGCAGAGAGTTTTAAGGTAAGGGACGTTTTCATTTCCTATTAACTGACAGGCTCATTCAGTTCATCAAACTCCATCTTTTAAAATCGAAATCGAAAGCGGATTATGTCTTCTCATAAAAGCTGACTCATCAGCGCGCTGCTGCATTGAAAACATATGATTCGATTTGCGCTTTCTGATTGGTTCTCGGGATATATTGGCTTTTGCTGTCAAAGGCAAGTGCTGTTTAGCGGCTTTTGCATACAAACTGTTATTTCTGAATGTGCTGACACTTCGATTTGGATGATTTGAAGCAAATCTATTTGTTGATGGTGAACTACGTGGCTAAAGCATTCACTCAATGTTATTAGCTCATTTTTAGCGGAAGTGGCGTCTAGCAGCTTTTGCATCTGAACTCTTCATTTGTTTTAATAATTTGAATAATTTGTCCACCTGTCAGGTTTTGGAGAGGTCTGCATCCCCATATGGGGCATAAGAATAGGACATGTGTTTTAATATAACTCAGTTTTTCGACCACACTATGTTATTATTTTTCATTTATATGTTTGCTGGAAATTAGAACTGAAATTAGAAATAGTTTTGAAACAAATCTTTGCACCAAACAAACTAAATTAAATATGTAGGCTAATGGATGAAGGTAGTGGATGTGTTTCCATCGTTTCCTTACTCTGCGAAAGTAAAAGATTAAACTAAAGAATTAAAGTACTCTAAAATAAAGAGAAAGTAAAGAGGCTGAATGGAGGAGGCACATTCTTTATCCTCGCACTGCAAATGGTGATGAGGCAAATGGCAGATGAGACTCTGATTGATTTAATGCACGTTATGCTCAAAACACACTCATAAGTCATTAAGAGAAGAAGCACAACCCTGTTAGACAAAGTGTAATTTTCTATCCTTAAAGGGGTGGTCCACTACAATATCCTATTTACTATAGCTTTAGTTGATGTGTACTGTAGCTGTGTAAACATAAACAACATCTCTAATTGTAATACGCTCAAAGTTCAATGCAAATGGAAACATTGGCTTTTACAGGAGAAGCTTAGCAAAGCCTACAGCGAATGAACTCTAGGGACTACAAAAAATACATCCAAGTCTGTAAGATTACAAGGGTTTCCAGTTAGACACATTCACCACGCGTACACACCCTGCGCAGCTAAGGGTCATGGCCAGAGGCACTGTAATGTTACAGTAAAGAAAGCTAAAATGCTGTCTAAACGCTGCTATTTCCACAGAGCTTCTTCTGTTTCTGTATTTGGGCTTCCAAAGGACATAACACAAAGAGAGAAGTGCTTACAATTTAATTTTAATTATGTTCCAGAGAGTTATAAAAATATATAGCTAGCATTTGACAAAGGTCATCTTTCAGAATCTCTCCCAGTTCAGTGCTGGATTCGCTGTATATTACAAAACATTGACTTTATTTGAGCATCAGAGCTCAACATAAACATCGGTCCTGGCCATATGCAGTTCTACATGCGGTGTTACATGCGTCTACAGACAGTTCACACACACATACATACACACACGCATATACATAAAATGGCGATCTCTCTTAAATAAACCACACCCTGTTTTCACTCGTTACAGACACTTGTTAGGTGTTATTTTAGAGAGCAGGCATGAGGTTCATCCTTTTTATTTTCTGTCTGATTAAGGCTCAAACAGATACTGCTAACAGCTACTCGGATTGACACTATTTAGACAGCTAAATCAAAGCGCTTGCCTGTGGAGGCATGACATTTTACTGGTAACATGGAGCCGATCCGCGTATCACAGCACATTATGTTAGCTGACCAATCAGAGTCTCTTGAGTCCAAGGTTAAAGGGGAAGCAACCTGCTACTTACAAAAAAACCTGCTACTTACAAAAAAACCTGCTACTTATAAAAGATCTGGAGCTCTTGAAAGCGGACAGTGGGGAGGGTTCTGGCTGGCTGAGCTGCATCCAATGCTTTTTAATGTGCTCAATTAACCCCACCCAAAAGAGCATAGAATCACCAAGAGTCATGCGGTGGCCATTTTGGAATGAAAATTCTATTAAAACAACAGCAAGGATAACTAACATTAGACAGAATGAATTAAAACATTGATTTAAATATGAGTAGGCCCACACGGAATCTGCGTGTGCAGAATTCCGCAGATTTACGCAGAATTCCGCAGATTTTTAGCCCATCATTGATTTTGTTCATTTACTTGAGTAAATGTGGGTACAGTAAATCTATATTTATTCAGTTTTTCAATTAATTAAAGTGATATTATTGACTAATATGAAAACGATTGACTGTACATATGATTTATGTACAGTGCAGTTTGTACAGTAATATTTTCTGTCTTTTAGTAGATCTATTATATGAGAGACTTGCTTTATTTACCAAATAAAGTGAATCTAATTGAATTTGCATTTTAAACAATAAATAAAAGTTAAAAAGATAATTTTATATTTCACATATTAAGGTTTTAGTTATGATACTCCCAAAATAATTCAGCAGAAATCCGCAGATTTGTACCAAAATTCTTTGCAGAAATAGCAAAAAAACATCCACAGTTTCCATCTGGCCCTAAATATGAGTGAAAATATTATAATATATGCTCTCAGCATAAATGAATACACCTCCTTTGAAAAGTAACATATACAATATCTCAATGAAAACAGACAATTTCCAAAATGTTGACAAGACTAAGTTTACTATATCTGGTATCTAAAATATCTTTTTCACTTATAACTTGAAAGGTTATCAAAATAACTTTGATTACTATTTCATTTTTAGCCTTACTCAAATTAGAGTGATACAAAAATGAGTATACCCCACAACAAAAACTACATTGCCTAGAAGTTTGTATGGCCTCCGTGATTTTTAATGACAGCATTAAAAATCATGAATAACAAATTATGAATTTATGTGTCAGAATTCATTAATTTTGGACAAAGTGGCTTTTTACATGAACGCTTCATTAGTCTTTATTTAACAGACAACATTGGATTTTTTTTTATATACTATTATAACAAAACACTGCAAAAAAAAGTGTTTTCAATCGGTTATCAACAATATTTTAAAGTCATGCTAATTTAATTTAACATGCCAGTATGAATTTGTATTATGCCAGTGCGTAAACTATTACATTTAAGTAGTTTCAAGTAATTTCACCTAAAAGTGACAGTTTTAAGAAAACAAACAAGGTTAAAATATGTTAAACAAGTCTGTAAAATTTACTATTAAAAGTGTTGATAATCACCAGTGTTTGATTGTACGTGTTTTATTTGTGTCTTTCAGGTTGTATTTCAACTTTAATGCGCTTTTTAAATATTCATTCATTCATTCACTCATTCATTTTCTTTTCGGCTTCGCCTCTTAATTAATCCAGAGTCGCCACAGTGGAATAAACCGCCGCTTTTTAAATAAATAAATAAAAAACAAAGCAGCTGCTTGCCATCGCAACAGCAATAAGATCCAATTCATGGCTGATCGCTTTCACTCCAAAATGGCAAAATCGGAGGGTTGTTGCTCGGTGCTGCTGTTGCAATGAAAAGTTCTATTGAGTGTTGCCTCTTGGTGATTCAAAGCTCTTTGCCCCACCCCTACCCCTCACAGTGACATTACTGACATTACTAGCTCCATTGAGTGCATTTTGTCTGACATTGCATCTCTAAGCCATGCAATCTCTACTTGCCTCAAAAAAATACTATTGGGACTGTGGATGAACGAGCATGACTTTTTGTCCAGTCTAGTTAAAAGCGGACTGACCGCACCAGTTATGTTTCCAGGCACAGATGCTCCGGGCAAGGAACCTTTTTTTTTTTTAAACTTTCATCGCATCACAAATCTTTTATCTTTGCCATGATGACAGCATATAATATTTGACTAGATATTTTTCAAGACGCTTCTATACAGCTTAAAGTGACTTTAAAGGCTTAACTAGGTTAATTACCTTAACTAGGCAGGTTAGAGTATTTAGGCAAGTTATCGTATAATGATGGTTTGTTCTGTGGACTATCGGAAAAAAATATAGCTTAAAGGGGATAATAATTTTGTCCTTAAAATGACTTTTAAAAAATTAAAAACTGCTTTTATTCTTGCCGAAATAAAACAAAAAAGACTTTCTCCACAAAAATAATTATTATCAGTTATACTTTGAATATTTCCTTGCTCTGTTAACCATCTTTTGGGAAATATTTAACAAAGAAAAGAAATTCAAATGGGGGGCTAATAATTCTGACGTCAACTGTATATCACTCTTATACGAGTGAAAATGACATGAATTGAATTGAATAATTATAACATTCCTGTGTTCAAAGTTTATTAATCACATTTCATTTTTACATTGCAGAAACTCGTCAGCTCTGCGAGCAATCTCTTGAACGACCCATCTGGCTGGCAAAACCCTGAAAATAAAAGCATATTTATTTCTGTAGAATATTTAAAAACTATTGAGAGAATGATGAACAACTCAAATCTGATCTCGAATACGCCTTACATTTCTAGTAATGCTCAAATGGCGCTCTGTAATCACACCAGTCCAGCAGACATTTGCAAGACCTTTAATGCTAGTGTCAGAAACTCAGATAATAGTGTTGTTGTTTTTGGATTCCGGAACCTTTATCAAATTTTACCAAAAGCTGAGGGAAATGACTCAAACACCACCATCTTATCAGTTACCCCTGTTAATGCAAACAATACGAACAGAAGTATAACACTTGAGTTTGATTCTGCTAAACAAAGGCTTCCAAATCATATGATATACTGTGTTTACTGGGATGAAAATCTGAACGAGTGGTCTTCAGACGGTTGTAGATGGGCTGGTGTAGACAACCCCACATTATGCATATGTGATCACAACTCTGCGTTCACCATACTGATGTCCAAAAACGCAGAGACCCTTCCTTATATGGACGAACTGACCTACGCTGGCTTAGGAATTTCCATCCTCTCGCTTCTTGCGTGTTTAATCATCAAGGTTTTGGTATGGGATGCAGTTGTAAAGTCGCCCATCTCCAATTTCCGCCACGTGGCCTTATTCAACATCTCCTTATGCTTGCTGTTAGCACATTGTATGTTTTTAACAACGTCCAAACCAGAGAGCATCCCCCCAAACTGGTGCTCCATCCTCACCTTAATCAAGCACTTCTTTTTCCTTGCCGTCTTCTTCTGGATGCTGTGCTTGAGTTTTGTGCTTCTCCACCAAATGATTTACGTCTTTGACCGTCTGCGCAAAAAGGTGTTTTTGGGACTGTCTATCACTGTTGGGTACGCATGCCCAATAATAGCTGTGGCAGTAACCTATATATCATTTAACAACGGTGCAGAAGGTGAATACTACTCCAAAAGCACTTGCTGGCTCACATATAAGGGGACTCTGAAAGGCTCCATCTTTGCCTTTATTATTCCTATCGGTGCAATTGTGTTTGTGAACCTGTTCACGCTGGCTGTGGTCATCATGAAGATAGCAACTCCTTCTATCTCAGAGGCAAAGGCTCGGGATGAAAAGGACGTAGCCAAGAGCATGATTAAAACAATCGTCTTCCTAAGCCCTGTCCTCGGATTAAGCTGGGTCTTGGGATTCTTTGTGCTGGGACTTGATCTTACAGTAAAACCTTGGGCAGCACTAGTCAACTACTCATTTACAATATTCAATTCGCTGCAGGTGAGAGTCAAGCATTAAACAGTAGTGCTGATATTTTTGCATGTAGCGTTACAACATCTAATTGCATTGTATTACAGGGCTTGTTCATTTTGCTGACAAACTGCGTTGGAGAGAAAAAGGTAAATGCCCACTATTGTTTAGACTGAAGATATGATAATTCCACTTTTAATTGCATTAGTGGCAGGATTATTACTGAAAAAAATCTCTTAAAGGTGCTGTATGTAACTCTTCTAAAGCATAAAAATACCATAATATGTTTGCAGACATTCTTGTTAATATAAAAAAAAGTGCTGAAGTCAGTTATTCTGTTTTGAAAATGTCTGTTACGTGCTGAAACGCTGTCTGCTTTCTTGGTGGAAAACAGCGCATTTCATTCATTCATTCATTCATTCAGTCAGGAAAGCTCCTAAAGCATGCGCCCTTGACTGAAATGGGACGTCTGGTGGACAGTAACAGACTCCAAAATGAGATGCAGATTCAGAGTTCCACATGAGGTTAAAAAGGATCAAATAATACAAATAATGCAAACGTAAACATTAGGTGAGCAGGTTACATTGTAACCCTGTGTCCTAACAACACGCTACGTGATGAAATTTGCTGTAATAAGCAATTTGGCTGTTCGCACCAGACGAAACTGAAATTTAAATACAGCCATTAAGAAGCACAGAATATGCATTCACTTACCAAATGGTAAGGTTTATAATCTAACTAATACATAGTAAACCTCTTTAACATTATTAAATGTAAATGCTGAATACAGTATATGTTGGTTTGCATTTTTTCACAGTTCTGAAGTTCAATTTCAAACTGTTTATTTTATTTTAAGATCTGAGGTGAACTATCTGCTGCACCTGTCAGTAGTATGGCAATAAATGTCATGTAAAATGACATTCAAACTCACATTATTAAAATTTAAATCTGAATAAAGCACATGAGGTGTACCTCAGGCGATCATTGTCATTAATCCTGTTGTTCACTTGTTAGAAATAGAAAATGTTTCTAAAATATCAATTCAAGGTATTGGTTAGGACAGAAACTCTTTTTAATATGGAGAATATTTCTTTAATCGCGTGCTGTTGCTTCTAAATAGAACACGACTTAAATCAGCCTGTAGGCTTGAGACTGGCTCCTGTTATGCTGAGTTCAGACTGCATGATTTTCCAACTAGTCGTGTCACAGATGTTTTCACACTGCTTGACTATCTGGGCTAGTGTTCGTCGCTGCTTTGTTTACACTGCAAAGATGGATCGGCGACAGGGACATTCACATTGCATGACTTTACTATAGGGAGAATCGCCGACAACTTCGTCCAAACTACGTCTCACAGCCAAAAACACGTAGTATAGCCTATCTTTTGTTATTAACTACATAATGAGAAAGAAGCCTTTAATGGGGTAGAACATGTACATGTTTGCTCACCTGGGTTTAAAGGGAATTAGCCATTTCTCCTCAACGTTAATAATAAACTAATTTCTTTCTGTATGAAACGTCAAACAGACACAGTTGGTCCTGAGTCCTGTCAAACCTCCACTAGTTTTCCCTCCATTTCGTGGGTCCAAATAAACCGAAAAAGAGTGCTTTTAACTTCTCCCCCAGCCTCCCGCTGGCCTGCAGCAGGTATACACACACGCACACACAAGTGAAAGCTGCTCTCTCATTGGCTGTAGGCGATCGCCGATGTTATTTTCAGTCAAAACTCAATTCACACGGCATGATTTGCATCGCCGACAGCTCCAGATATTTAGCACGCCAAATATCTCGCAGGCATCGGCGACTCATCAGCGATTCTCTCAGATCGCGTCTTTGATCGTTCATACTGTGTGATTGTCACTCACGTGCACGAGCAGCGATTTGCCTGTGATTTCAGGCATTTGTCGGCGATTTCTCAAAACCTGTCGGCGAGCCAAAATCGGGGCTAAAATCACGCAGTCTGAACTAGGCATTAGTCGTCAATCTGGCAACCTGCGCAGGAATGCAATACCTAGATTAACCACTGAGTGTCGAATTTACTGCACCTTTAAAGGAGGGCAGCATGCTTATTTAGCCAATCTCAGATTAAAATCTGAAAAAAGTTTTTTTTGTTTTTTTCTGGTGCATGTTATTGACCTTTAGGTTAACAATTAATCCATTCAAGTTAATCAATTTTAAAAAATGCTTTGGTAATTTTCAATTAAAATTTGACCATTTCCTTCTGTGTTTGGAGTGGGTGGTCCTTTTCTGATGATGTCAGTTTAATGCTTCAGTCACAATATTCTTAACCACGCTACTCTTACCATTGCTGCACAAAAAGAAAGCCACCGCTTTTTTCTCAATATTGATTTTTAGTTGGAAGTACATCAACAAATGACTGAAATAAAAGTTTTAGTAATATGTTTATGTTAACTTTAAGGTGCTTCCACACCTAGACTTTTGTTTTGGAACCTGTATTGTTTGCCTAGTTAGCAGGGTTTGTTTGGCATACGTAAATCCAGCAATCGCGCTCGGATCCGAGCCAAAACAATTGGTCCGAGATCACCTGAATGAGGTGTGCACCTGCATATTAATATTCTCTCTTACCGTTAATTTGCTATAAGGGAATGAGGCGTTAAAAAGCCCCTCCCCAACTTAATTTTCAGCTTCAGTTGAAAGTACATCAACATAATGAAATGAAAGTCTCAGCAAATTCCAGTTCATGTGGACTTTGATGTTAAGTATCATATAGGGCAGTACTTCTTCCATATTTCCCTCAAAAAAAAGCTTTAATTGTTTAATACTTAAAATCCAATTGAAATCTAAATTTACAATGTTTATTTTGCTAGCTCACATTGATATTGTCACGGTGAATAATTAATCAGTGCAAGTTAATCCACTGCAAAAAAATTGTTTGTTTTGATAATCAAAGCTAATCAAAGTGAATTTGCTTTTGCATTTGGAGTGGTGATACTTCTGATCAGGTCAATTTGAGGGTTTTAATAGCAACTGCTTATTAATGCTCTCTCTTACTGTTAATTTGCTATAAGAGAATGAGGTGTAAAAAAGCCTCGCCCTAAATTCATTTTCTGTTTCAGTTGGAAGTACATCAACATGAAATAAGTCTCAGTAATTTTAATTTTAAGTACATATACAGCAGTACTTCATCTATATTTACACCAAAAAGTCTTTAGTTTTTTAATACTTTAAGTCCACTTGAAAACTAAATTTACAATGTTTATTTTGCTAGCCCACATTGATATTCTCAAGGTGATTAATTAATCCGTGTTTGCTTTGTAATCCTTAATCAAAGCGAAATTTTCATGTCAATCTGAGGTCTTCCATAGCAACTGCATATTAATATTCTCTCTTACCGTTAGTTTGCTATGAGCGAATGAGGTCCCAAAAATGCCCCTCCCCCAACTTATTTTTCTGTTTCAGTTGAAAGTACTGTACATCAACATATTGAAATATCTGTCTCAGCAACTTCCGATTCAAGCTGACTTTAATATAATAAGAGAATCTTACAGCTTTACGATTCTCTAACTTAATTGTACATCTTTCATTTAAAGGTTCGTGATGCACTTCTGAAGCGTTTCAAAATCAAGGTTAGTTTGTGCAAGGGAATGTACATGCTTTTACAGATGTGAAATACATAATGAAAATACAAAATAACACAAAGCTCACCAATATAATCTAACCTTTTTTTACTTTAGCAATCAGTGCATTCTAAAACTGAAAGCTCAAGCAAAGCGCAGTCTTCAATCATGAGGAAATAAATATGGCACAGATTTAGGGTAAGTTATATTTCTGCTCTTAAGATTCATTTATTTAGTGTTTACATATTTTGGTCTAATTTGATTTTTGTTTTTAATTCCAATAGTTTTTAATTGAAAGAAGGAATGCGAACATTTTCATGGATTCAATTCTGTCTCATTCTATGCAGAATAAAACAGGTTGAAAATGTCAAATATGTTAAGAGTTTATTGTTTTTTTTTTTTTTTAATAATGTACAATAATTTGTGACTTCGCAGTTCAGGAAATATAAATATACATTTACCAAGTCATGAATGTATGCTTTGCCATGTCATGTTTACTGTATTATGAATGTATTCTCAGGGTAAAAGCTATATTTGTCTTTTTATTTATGTATATTCATGTAAGTATATTTATGCTTGAATGTTTATGTATAGCCTGTTTGTTAATATTCAAAACTGATGAACGTCTTAGATAAATATAATCTTTGGCATATGATTTTATTGTCCTCCAACAATGCTTTCTTTATAATTTTATATGTAAATGTGCTTTAAAATTCAGATGTTATCCAATAGTTTTGTATTTTGTTCTCATGGCATAATAAAACCTACCTTTTAATTAACTACTGGTTTCTTTCTTGCAGTCTGGCTTCTTTTCTCTCTTCTTCCCATTCTTCATCTGTATCATCTAATGGAAGACCATTTGACATTGCCATTTGCCGATAGTTTCTGCTTTCAACCTCTGCCCTGAAAGTACAGAAAACAGCATTTAAAAAACATCTAGTATCACACAGTCACTCCTTCAAATAAACAGAGAAATCTAGTTAAGTTTGAAAATGGCAGTAAATATTGGAATGACAAAAGTCGGTCATGATGCGTTCCTGGGTTTACATCTATATTGATCCTGGACCATAATTTTTGTTGGAAAATGTAATCCATTCCCCACCCCTAAACCCAACCATAACTGTAAAATATTCCCAAAATCTGAGGTGAATAGTAGTTGAATAACACTCATGTGCAGAAACCTAACCGTAAGCCTAAACTGTAAATGTAACCCTTAATTCTGACTGGTGATTGGATTGTAGTTCCAGGATCAATGTAGATGTTAATCCAGGAATGAGTCCTACTTGGTGAAATAAATATAGCCCTGCCCTGAGTTGGGGTCGAGGCTTTTTAAATAACCTTTTTTAAATATATATAACTCTACTATGAAAATGAAATTATAAATTATAATTTTGTAGCACATTAAATTACAGTAAGTCACTAATAACAGACTACACAAATATCTGCATTGCGAGCCGGGAATACACACCAAATTGCATGTTATCAAAACAATACACTTGAATTTGTTTATATCCTACTGATGAAAGAGATAAGAGGAGGATGAAAAACTCAATCATGAAGAAATTCTCATTTTAATTGATGGATAAAATAAACACAATACACTTCTTAATAGAAAATTAAACTTCTTTCACAAACTAAAAAAAGCGAGATTTGGGAGGAAATTATTTGTGATTAGAGAGAGATCATTCTTCATTAAGATCGCAAGCTCCTCAATGTTAACTAATCTCACTGTCATCTCTTTTCTACTGTTATACATGGGGGGAAGGCTGCCGTTAATATTTATTTGGAGCCTAGTGTTACGTTTAAATTAAGTTCAGTGGTGCAACACTAAAATATTTAGTAATGTGTAAACTGTAACTGAGTGTCCCTTTTTATTCACAACTAAGCTACGTTTTAACTTATGCACTGCTGGTGCAACCAGCCCCTGATGTACTGCTTTAAAAGAAAACGTGAATTGGAAATTAAACTTTCATTCATTTAATTTATTCACTTTTCTTCAGCTTAGTCTCTGATATATCAGGAGTCGCCACAGCTGAATGAACCGCCAACTATTCCAGCATATGTTTTACATAGCGAATGCCCTTCCAGCTGCAACCCAGTACTGGGAAACACCCACACACTGAACCGTGGGAGAAACCAGACCACCTGGAGGAAACCCACGCTAACACAGAGAGAACATGAAAACTCCACACAAAATTACCAACTGGCCCAGCCGGGACTCAAACCAGTGACCTTCTTGCTGTGAGATGACAGTGCTAACCACTGAGCCACCATGCTGCCCTGAAATTAAACTTGTTTCCATAAACATAAATCAGAATTGTCTGTGAAGACTATTGTATGGTTGAAATGAGCCCTGAATCATCATACTTCTCAAGAAAACGAACGCAATCTTCATGTCCGTAGATTTCAGCAATCCGGACAGGTTTATCTCCAGAGGAGTCCTCCTTGTCTACAGGTGCATGCAGGGAATGAAGGAGTCGTAGCACCGCTAGTCTTCCAGATTCAGCTGCGAAGTGTGCAGGCGTCCATCCATTGTCCGTTCTCAAGCAAGCCCTGGCTCCATTTTCAACCAGTATCCGAACCATCTCTGTCTGGCCTAAAACAAGATCACAGATTAGGCTTAGCATCACACACATGCAAGAGCAACTGGGTGAATTTCATTACAGTTAAGTTAAAGTTCACCGCAAAATGAACATTTTGAAGATAAGTAAATGAACACTCACTGTTTGTTCGACCTGAAATGATTTCAAACCTTCTGTTGAACACAAAGAAGGTATTTAAAAAATAGTTAAAAACCTGTAACCATTAAAAAAGAAATACTATGAAAAATATAAAATATTTAAAAAGAAAAACTATACAATTACAGGTTTCCAACATTCTTTAAGATGTCTTCTTTTGTGTTCAACAAAAGAAACTCAAAGTTTTGAAACAAGTAAATGATGACAGAATATTCATTTTTGGGTGTACTATCCCTTTAATGTAAACTTGCAAAAAGACTGCTATAGCTTGATGTTTTTACTGAAAATACTTTAAGATTGCATTATGGGATGCTTATCTCTGCTCTGACAATTTCTTTTTTTTATTTGGGTTGGCCATGTAAATAAATGTATTTTTATTTATAATTTAAATGTAAAACATTTTAGAGTGTACCGTTCACCCATATTCAGCACATTCATCAACACATACTGTATCATGACTACTACTTAATACTAGTGTTTAATCTTAAATTGTAGTAGACTACATAGTTATAATAGGATATTAGGATCAAAGACAAGGGCAAAATTTAAATCAAGTAATTAAATTATTTGTTTTAATTGACTTTTTTTCTGAACAAGCATAAAATACTATTGTTTTACCATCATTTACAAAAAAAGCATTACATTTTAGATCAAGGCTTATTTTAGGGTCACAGTGGATCCCTATATTCTTCATTCAATTTTAAGTTGTACCCATTTGTCAGCAAAATAATACAAAGTAAAAATTATGTTATTAGATTTGGTATAGTTAACGTTCGGCTAATTTTGAAGAGGCTGCATCCAGATAACGTTAACGTTACCTTTAACGTTAACGTTACATAATTAAGTTATTGTTACGCTGAATAACAAAGATACATATACGAAACATCAAAATGGGAACTTTAAAAATAACATACACACTTTGACCGAGTAACGACATGGTATACATATAGAATAAACAGGTTTAGATGGAATAAAAAGTCTAATATTAGGTCTGGGGGACCAGCGTAACCTGCCTTTGGATGCTGCCCAGTGTAGAGCGGTTTTCTTGTTCCAGTCCAAGTCTTTTTGATTAGGATTACACGAATTGTTTCTCACAATTTCTTCCACCAAATCATAATCTCCAGCCGCAGCCGCCTGATGCAACTCTGTCATTTTATAACATGAAAAACTTTGTCAAAAGTTCGACTGACAGACTAAAAGACGTTAACGTTAGCTTCTTTTTGTTTGCGCTTTAAGTAATTAAACACCTGTTACCACAGTAACGCGACAGCAGGTGGTTTTATCTAGCAGTCAGTCATCATGTTTTTCTTTTTGCTTTTAACTAAGAAAGAACAGTTTAACCCCTTAATATTCTTCAAGTAATTGTTACCTGTATTATTTATATAACTTAATGTTTTTAAGTTTAATATTCCGCAGAACAGTACGACGTTATCACGTGATACCCGTTGTTTTTCTGAGCGCGGATTATCTGGACAAATCATCGGACACTTCTGGCTCACCGGTGAGTCTGCATGTGTCAGGTATCATTTCACTTGTTTGATAACTTTAAACTTATACAATAGTGTTTAGAAATGTTTTTGCTCAGACAAATTAATGTTATAATTCAAAATACTTATGAGCCGCCAAGCGACCTTAGAAAGATATTTCTAATGCGATACGCAAACCATCAATAAATTTGATCAATTTAAGGGGGTAGTTCACTCAAATTTAGCCTTATCCTCAAGTGTTTGTTTATTATTTCTTCTGTTGAACACCGAAGATACTTTGAAGAATGTCAAAAACAGTAACAACCACCACCATAGAAGGAAAAACAAATATTTTGGAAGTCAATGGTTACCGGGTTTTGGGAAATTCTAAAAGAAACATATATTATCTGTCCCTGAAATAAAACATAAATATGGTTAATTAAAAGTATTTCATCCCAAAAATTTCTAAAATGGGCTGATTGTTGATTTCTTTGAGCTGTCCTGTAAAGGAATATGTCATTCATTTGGTTCACAGATTGTTTTTCCTTATTAAAACGTTTTACAGCACAAACCCTGTCATTGTCCTTGTCCTCAGCGCAATCGAACCAGCAGCTTTAATAGCTGTCATGCTAAAAACTTTTATTTATAAAAGAAAAAAAATCTTAAATAGCAATCATTCAGTTATCATTTACATCAATTGATTAAAAACGTGAAGTTATAAGTAAATTCTACAAATAAACACTACAAATACAAATAAATTTACAACTCCCCATGTTTCTGTCAGTCCTGTCACATTTGCATTAAATTTAACATTAAATGTGTGCAATACATGTCATTTGACGGAGAAGAAGCTTACAGAGATCAAAAAAGCGTTCTATCATTGAATTGTATGACTTTATGCTTGTTTGTGTAATTTTTTTTAAGGACGACAAGCTTGCAGTCCATGTCTGTTTTTTTTTTTTTTTATAAATGAAAAGGTACATTTCTGGGATAATGTCCCTTAAACAAATTATTCTAAAACCTTATTTTGTGTTTAACTGAAAAATAAACTCCTTAAAAAGTGTGTGACAAGTGAAAGGTGAGTGAATTTTCAGTTTTGGGTGAACTTTTCCAATAGATGTTTTGCAATTTACAATAATCAAAATAACAAATTTTCAACATCAAAATATATTATATTAGCTAAAATACTCAAGTCCAAATAGAATACTTTCCTAGTTGTTTGAGACAGACCAAACAACTGAAGGATGGAAAAAAGTAAATAATTCAATTACTTGAAAGAAAAACAAGTAATTCCTACAATATTTGGTGTTTTTTCATAAATGTCGCAAAATCTGCCTATACAGGGGACACTGTTTTTACTGTTGCCTGTTTAGTGTAACCGTGAAGCACATTGACCATTTAACAAAAATATATTATGCACTTTAAATTTATTAGAAAAAAACTAAGGAGGAAGGTGCATTATTTAAAATGTTAATTGAGTTCTCATGAGAATTGAATAGTAATGTGACTCATGACTCAGAAATGTGATCTCACGGTTTGGATCACATAATGCTTTTTTTAGTCAAGGATCGGACCATTTACTGGATTAGCCAGAAAGGGGAGTTGACAAATGTAATTTGCTTTCCATTTATTACAAAAACAGTACTGCAAGACACTTTTGGTTTTAACAAACAACTTAGAACCTGTTATGTTATTAAAATAAAATGAAGAAATAATCAGCTGAATATAAACAAATTGTGAAATATTCAGTACTGTGAAAAATTCTCTGTTGCGGATAACGCTAAATTTTAAAAATCCAACATTATAATTTGTACAACCCAAATTTATTTTCAGCCTCATTTTCAATAAATGATTCAGTGATTCATTCATAAAACTTCATGTTTCATTGATGTGTCATTTTTGATGAATTATTCAGTGGCATATTTTTGATGGCTGGTTGTCGTCGCCTATTGTTTAAATGATGTAATTTCTGCATAAACTTTCATTTGAGCGTCAAGTTAAATGCATATGATGGTAATTTTAATCTAAACCATAAACATCAGTGGTTTTATTTAAACTATAAACTGTTATCGCAGTACTGCTGTGTTATTTGACTGTCTGTAACTTCATAACCAACTCAAAAGACTAAAGACTCAACCTCTTGATTTTTAAGTATTTCAATCACAGATGTGAATGCAGTGATTCAAAGGATTAATAAACATTCGCAAATCACCATCATTTATAATTTATGTTGAGTGGAAATTCAGATCCTGTTTCTGTAATGATCAATTGTGCAGCTGATACACTGAATGCATTAATGCAGGCTAAATAAGTAGTGACAGAAAACACCTTTAATAAACTAAAAAACTCACCACATCCCAAATAACCCACCGCAACTTCTTCCGTCATCATTATATTTGACATGAAGAGCCTAAATACTTACTTACATGATCATATTTTACTGCTAATATTTTAATATACAAGTAAAAACAATGTATTAACCCGGGGGCCAAGTGTGTTCCAAGCCTTGGGTTATGATCCGTACAAATCACAGATCAACTGTGATCCATTACACCCCTAGAATTTAAGATTAAGCTTTCAGAATTAATTTAGTTTCTTTTTTTTTTGATGTTGTTATAAATGATTAAAACAACCACAGCAACAAAAGCCCAAATTTATGAAGTTTTATTTGAACAATTCTTTTGAACAAGGGAAAAAATTAACAAATACACATTACAACAAGGAAAAAACAATTACACTCATACCTGCTGTAAACTGGCTATAGGGTGTGCAGGTTTGTTGTGCAAAATGCTTTCGGTACAATTACTTAAATTTAAGTTTTGTCTTTTTTTATTTAAGTACTTGTCAATCGTGCCTTTAAATCAGTACAGGAAAAATTATATATAACAAGAAAAAGCTCAAGCCTAACAAAGCCTAACACAATGCAATCAGTCGAGGTTCAAGTGTTGTTTTAAAATGACAAGAAACGAATCAACATGCAAATAAAACCTCCAAACTTTCACAGGCCAGGTTGTTGGTTTAATACATTTCTCAGTTGTGCATTAATTTCCCCAAATGAAACGGTTTACACTGTTCCACAATAAATAAAAGTTTAAAATTCGACTCATTTGAAGATGCACTTAGAGTCACATGAGTCTTCAGTGCAAACCTACAAGGTAACAAAAAGAAAAAGTACAGCTGTTAATTAACAAAAAGAATTAAAATGCATGTTAAAAGAAAAAACTAAAAACAAAAATCACAGAGGCTAAAACAAAAAGCAATACCATGGGTAACATTTGTTTTTCTAAACGAGCAACCCAATCTGAACTTCTGTTTGGCGTCAATGGGAGGTCTGCTGGGAAAAAAAAGCATAAATAAGTATTTATTTAGCATAAAATAACAAATTAAAGCTAGATAAGACACAAGAATTGAAATCTAAACAAATAAAAACAAAACATTTATTAATTTATTTTCCTTTGGCTAACTGTGCGTTGACACTGAAGGCGGTAAGAGCATCAACGGTCGCTCTGGCCCCTGGCGACAACGCTGTCTGCCTTCAGCTCCGGCGGCGAGAGCGTCAAAGTTCACTACACTGATCTCGTATTTAAAAGGAGCCATTGCCACATATCAGCAAATCAGTTACATTCCTGCATAAAACATGCTTTCTAGCATGAAAATGTTGTGCACTTTATCAAATTCATTTAACAATAGAAAATCAAATTGCATGTGGTGTGGCTTTGCTCCATTTACAGTAATTATACAATGTGTCCATATGTCTGAAATATCCTAAAGCAGCAATACGGTTTTGTATTGTCGCATGAGATTCCCACTTAAAAAAAAAAATCAAATAATAATAATAAATAAATATAAATAACATTAATGCACATCAATAACTCGCCAGTAATTTTTTTTAATATATGTTCTTCTAAGAAAACATTGTAAATAACTGGAAATCCAGCGACCACAATAATCGAACACTTGGGAGCAACTGTGATTAAAACCAAAGTTGACAGTGACCGTGTACTCTGGACTCCTCTCAGGCGGTGGACTTCTACATTCTGATTGCTTGCTGCCGAACCACATCACAACTCATTACCATAAAGTTGACTTGATTTTAATTCTCCTCGACACCCACACCAGTGAAGACAGGACACGCTGCTCCTTGCCGCTGGCTCCCATTGGAAAATGAATGACTTCCAGTTACTTAGACGCTTTCGGTGTGAAGGTAAAGTTAGTCTCAATTTCAGGTAAACCACAGGGCAATGAACCGGCAACTATTCCAGCATGTATTTTACGCAGTGAATGTCCTTCCAGCTGCAACCAAGAACTGGAAAACACCCACACACAGACACAATTTAGTTTATTCAGTTCACTTATAGCGCGTGTCTTTTGAACACCCGGAGGAAACCCACACCAACACGAGGAGAACATGCAAACTCCACCAAGAAATGATAACTGGCCCAGCCAGAAATCAAACCAGCAACCTTCTTGCTGTGAGCCACCCACTGTAAATCTTATTGACTGTTTAATAAAAACGAGTGCATCAAACTACTGATGTTTACACACTCCCGCTTTCACACTGAGCAAAGCTTGTTACATTAAGGGCCCTATAACACTTGTCTTTTCATGCTCACTTGATTAAATCAAATCCTGTTGCATTTGCAGTCACCATTTTTCACTGGTCTCTTTTGCCTGGATACACCGCATGCTCGCTCGCTCACTCGCTCGCTCACCCGCTCACTCACTCACCCACTCACTCACTCACCCACTCACTCAAATGTGGTAAACCTTTAAACTCATCCAAAAACCCATCATCATCAAATCATTATACTCATCAGCTCAAACAAAAAACAAGCTGAAGTTGCTTTGACAGTCATGCTAAAGGAGCCACAGTTTTAGTGCAGCCGAGTTCAGACCACCTGTCAGGTAGTCTCAGGTTCAACACCACCAGTACACACACGGGTTCCTGTGAGTCCCAGTGTTTCCATGCAAATAATGTTAGATTAAATTCCAAGCATTGAAAAGCACCAAGTGCGTCACAGAAGTGAGCTAGAATGCCTGATTAATAACAAGCATTGGCTTCTGCTAGAATTAAAATGGATAATTTTGCCCTTCCAACCGCAACACAACACTGGGAAACACCCACACACTCTTGCATTCACAAACATACACTATGGCCAATTTAGTTTATTCAATTCACCTATAGTGCATGTCTTTGGACTGTGGAGGAAACCCACGCCAACACGGGAAGAACATGCAAACTCCAGACAGAAACGCTAACTGACCCAGCTGGGACTCGAAAAAGCGACCATCTTGCTGTGAGGAATAACAAACTAAAGGGATTATATATATATATATATATATATATATATATATATATATATATATATATATATATATATATATATATACACACACACACGTGTGTGTGTGTGTGTGTGTGTGTGTGTGTGTGTGTGTGTGTGTGTTTATACACTTTATTCGTTTCAAAAATTTGAGTTTCTTTATTCTGTTGAACACTAAATATGAAATATGGAAGAAAGCTGAAAACCTGTAACAATTGACTTCTTTATTATTAGTTGATGAAGGTGAATAGCTATGTTTCTATCCAATGATGCAAATTAAATTATGCACAACTGGAATATCGCATAAAAGATTTGAGAATAAAGCAGCGGTTCCATTCACTGAGTCAAAAAGAACAAAATCGTCACTTCCTGATTATCTGACGCCAAATATCAACAGTAAATAGAGAACTGACTGCGGTAGGAGAAGCTGCATGAATCTTTTCTTCATTTAATAAATGACTTGCGCTTTAGAAGACAACGCTGACACGCAATGAACGCATGGTGGCGTTTGAAGGTGTGAAACACTGAGCAGACAATCTTGACTTTTCTGGAGGTCATTAATATTGTAATAACACTATTACTGAAATGGTTAAGGCGTTGTAAAATTACTAAAACAACATTTAAGATGCTTTACAGTGTGCTCAGCCTGCTGGATTGTCCATTCAGACACATTTTTATCATCACATGATCTCTTATAACCAAATCACATGATTTTTTAGTCCGCGAAATAGAGTTTGTTCGTTAAAAGTGTTTCCATCATAGTTTATGCAAATCCATTCTTATCGAATAAAAAAAAAAGTTTATCCTACTCAGTTATGCACATATATTTATGCGCATTTTCAAAACTTTTGCGCATCGTGGGTTTCCATCAACCGTTTTTTATCTCCAAAATGTGCATAAAAAAGGTGGATGGAAACAAAGCTAATGTTTGAAGGTTTTTAGCTTTCTTCAAAATTTATTCTTTTGCATTCAACAGAATAAAGAAACTCAAATGTTTGGAACTACTTGAGGCAGAGTAAACAGCGAGTAAATTTTCATTGCTGGGTAGACTATTATTAAGGGGAAAAAAAGGAAAAACCATGTGTGTATGTAATAATGAACTTTTAGAAAAATATTACTTTAAATACAGCGCAGCAATAGATCAGTCAGACTACATACTGTAGACATAGTGCTGCCATCAGCTATTTGCTCCAACTACCATTGGCATACAGCCAAGTACACTGAAACTGCTTTTAACCCTCCCTCCCTTTATACAAGTCAAAATTTAATTGAATGCCTTCTTGCTGTTATCTCCTCTTTTTTTCAGACAATCAAGCTCTCAAGTCCTAGCTGTTACATAAATTCTCCACAGAAAGCTACAGCAAAAACATTCTAGGATCAATCAACAACCCAATTTAATTCGTATATCCTGTATTAGCTTAGCTTATAGTTCTGAGGGGTTAAAGTAGAACTGTTGTATGTGCTAACAACCATGAAGCAAGAACCCCTATTAAGAACTATATCACCGAATACAAGTTTGTCAATAAATGCAACCTTACAAATTCTATGTACTGGCTTTGGTTAAAAACCACAAGCTATCATCTCAATGTTACCGTAATTGATAGTAAGACAAAGGTCAAAAATCAAAGCAATCTTGCTCTCACTTTCAACAACTTAGCCCTTGAAAAAGTTGAAAAATTGCAAAGGCACCAGAAAGGGTTTTAGCAATAACAAACTAGTACTTGAGTAAAAGCATAGAGGACTAAACATTATATCCATCCAATTTAAAAAATAAATAAATAATATATTGCACAAAAACAAGTCACAAAAACGTACATACCATTTTGGGATGTGGACTCCTCCCCATCTTCTTTATTTTCTTCTGTGTGCAGCTGCGCTTGTTCAGCAGATACAACAGAAACTCCGTCAGGCTCATGATAACCTTCTTGAATTTCCAAATCTGAATTTGCAGGATCATTAGCAGCAACATCAGAATTTGTTGTAGTAGCAATCACATCTGCTCCAACAATCTTATCATCCACTTCGTTTTCAGGTACATTATGCAAGTTACCATTTTCCATCAATGGATTATCTCCGTGTAGTTCAGGACAGGTAGGTACACTTGTGTGATTATCCTCAGTAGAGATCGCAAGACACTCACTTGTTTTATCCTCTGAAATAGACTGATCAACAGGTGCTGATCCCACATCTTTTTCACAGGATTCAATCACCTCAGCAGAGTTCTGATCATGGTGAGTGCAATTACTCCAAAACTTTGCCATGAGCTCATTTACAAGACTTTGTGAAGACTCAACTTTAACATAATATGGAGGACTGTTAGGTTCCACTGAATCATCAATACACTGCACACTCACTTTCAGAGGTTTATCCACCAAGAGTTCGTAGAAGTTATCAGTAGCCTCACTATCCCACGATCCTCCAGAGGGATTAAATCCTTCCAACCGACACAGGAAAGCTTGAGGTGGACTTTCCAGCAAGTCACAAGGTAGTGCTTTTACAGAACCTTCACTGGTTTCAGACTCATTTCCAAAGTCAACAAAAAGTACAGATACTGTGTTTGTGCACTTCTTAATAACTTGTGCACGGTACCACATCTGGTCATCACAAAAGCGAGCCAGGCATGGACTTCCAGGATCCAAATTATCCAGTAGAATTGGCTGCGTTTCACTGGAATTTCCACATTCTTGAGCAAGTTGTGTGATGTGGTCAAGTATTTCAGAGTTCGAAAACTGGCACCAAAAATAATCAGGTCCAACAATGCATGACGCAAAAGCTTCAATGGTTTGTCCCAAAGAAACATCTGGTTTCTTGAAAAGAAAATTGAATGTCTCCTTAACTGGTTTGGTGACGACTGATAATTCATTCAAGTCTAACTGATCCCATTTCTTACTGAGCGAATCAGATGTGCCTTCACAGGGAGTCATTGTAACTTCCCAAGCAATGTCATCTTTTTTGATAAAACTGCAAGAGAGGGTGTTTTCACCAGCTCCACCAAGCACTTCTTTGAAGAGAATTTCCTGCTCCTTCATTCCCTTGAATTGGTCATTTAAACTATAGCTGCAGTGAATGCTGAACCTTGGGTATGACAGCAGATGTTCGTCAAGTCTGCAAACTTTAAGGGAAGAAACCATTGCCTCATTGCCAAAATCTATGAACTCTACAAAGACCATGTCATTTTCAGGAGCACATTTCACAATAGCACGATACCAGGAATCATCTTCAGGAAACATGGCTTTCACCAAACTTCCCTGCTGAACACTCAATCCATGCATTTCATCTTTCTCTGATGGTTGATGGGAATTCAATGACTCGGTGAGGGAGAAGAGCGTATTCTCATCCTCTTTGAGTTGCACGTAAAAACTTCTCAGGTTATTGATGTGTGAAATATATACTTCAGACATTGTACCTGGTTGTATCACACGTTGGGGAAGATCTACAGATCGAGGAAAAGACTGCATTGATTCAGGATCCATCATGTTTACACCTGTGGTCAATGCTGCTGAATTGTTGACATCATCACTTGATGGTGTTGTACTAGAGTTAAGGTTGGGTGTTTTATTTTTCTGGACAGCTTCAGAGTTAGTTACACCAAAATCGTCCTTCCCTGCATTGGTTTTTGCCATGGACCCCTTACTAGAGACTTGAGGTTTGGGATCAGACAAGTAATCTTTCATAAGATCATTAACGATCAGCTCCTTGCATTCAACAAGGACACTAAACTGAGGACACATTGTAGGGTTAGGGGTCACCACCATATTCTGAACAGTCACTTTTAAAGGTTCATCCACTAGAATCTCAAAGAATTTATCAGCTGCACTGTCGCTCCATGTGCCCTCTACAGACCCCAAAACTTGCAACTGACATAGAAAGGCTTGTGGTGGGCTTTCCAGCAGCTTGGTTGGCAGGGCCTTTATGGAGTTAAAATCAATTTCAGACTCATTTCCATAATCTATAAAAAGAACAGAGACCTTTTCATGGGTATTGATAACCTGTGCTCTGTACCAGAGCTGGTCAGAAAAGCGAGCCAAACAAATTCCACCTTGGCGTAACTGATCTGGCTGGATTGCTTTCGTGTGACTACTGTTTCCAATTTCTTGTGCAAGCAGTGAGATTTTGTCAAGAATCTCTGAGTTTTTGAACTGGCACCAGAAGTAATTTGGTCCGACGATAGATGAAGCATATGCCTCTACAGTTTGTCCTGGAGTTACAGCTGGCTTCTTGAAAGTTAAAGGCTGGGTATTTTTAATGCAGTGTACTTGGGATTCGCTTTGAGCATCTGATTTGACAGTAAACCATCCTTCCTGGTGTTCTAAACTTACAAGCCAACAAGTTGCATCTTCTTGAATGAACTTGCATTGAATTTTCTTTTCACCATTTTCACCTGCTGCCTCTTTGAAAGTCATTATCTCCTCCTGGGTCCAGTCTCTTTTTCCTCGTCTCTTTCCATCCTCAAGCATGCATTGAATACTGAGCCTGGGAGTGCTAAGGAACTGCTTGTCAAGTTGCTTTATTTTAGTGGGCAGGAGTGTCACTTCATTCCCAAAGTCAATAAACTGCACTTGAACCATGCCATTTTTTTTGCTTTTTACAACAGCACGATAATAGGCACCATCGGCTGGATATTCAGCTTTCACCAGATCATCTGACTGCAAGAGATTTAGTTCAACTTGTAAATCACTTATCAAAGTACAATTGAGTTTTTCAATAAGGGAAAATATTTCGTCTTCATCAGTTGTCAATTGCACAAAGAAATTTGATGGACTATTACAATGTGAAACATAGACATCTGAAACATACCCCACATCGATGGTTCTCAAGGGAAGTTCCGTGAGCTTTGGATAAGCCATTACTTGTTGCTGTAAAACATTAGGCCAAGCTCTATTGTTTCCAGTTGCATTGCTGTATCCAGTAGCGGACTGGAAGTTTTGTTCTGTTCTGGCTTGACCAACTGGTTTTAAAGTCCTCTCATGTGCTTGTGATGTAGTGCTAAAACTATTTCTCACCTCTCTAAACTCCATGCCTTCTGAAGTCTCCTTGAAACCACGGGTCTTAACGATTCCTTTGGTGTTGATTGACTCGTTTCTTTTGGTCTTGCTCCACAGGTCTTTAATTTTTAAGTTGAGGTTTGTTTTGTCATCATACATCTCCACTGACAGTTTGCCTGAAGAATTTAGCTTCACAACTACATTGAACATGCAGTCTGTGGCGTAGTTTTTGAACCACTCATTAAGCTCACACGGCTCAGGTAATGCTACATTGAAAAGTTCAAACTGAACAGCCTGAATGGGAAGAGATGCAATTGCATTCGCATTTGGAGGAAATGGTAGAATATCAGATTTATCGACAACCACCAGGTCACCGTAGTCTACAAATTGGACAAGTATTTTTGGATGCACAGATTCAATTTGTCCTCTGTGCCACTGCCCATCTGAAAATTTAGCAAGACACATCATCTTCGGGGAAATTGAAAACTTTGCTTGTGGACGTTTGCGGCACAGCTGTTGAATATCTTTGGTCATTTTTGCTACGGCGTCAGTATTTTGTGCAAAATGGCCATAAAACTGGTTCACGCTTTCCACACAGGTTATGTGTAGCTTCATCTTGGCACCCACTTTAATTTTGGGTGGTACATCGACATATGCATCGGCCTGAAGAGATGAAGTTGTTGCAGCATTCAGTGTGTAGCCTCCCTTTGTAGACTGTAGGTTTCCTTCAGCTTTGGAAGGTCCGACTACATTAACATCTTCAACAGAACTGGAGTACTCGGTTAAATGAGCTGAATGGAGAGATTGTAGAGAATTATTTCTGCCATGCATATTGCCATATGTCACTTTGTTTAGAGTATCAAGAGTTGGATCCCCACACATCTTCTCGTTCACTGCCAAACAATGCTCTTTGTGACCAAAGGTTAGGTTCACATTCACATTGTCATTTCCATACAGTGTTATATAATAGACACCCTCACTCACACTGTAGTGCTCGAACTTTCCAACAAGGATTTGATCCAGTATGACAGATTTCAGATAATCTATCTGATCTGTCCGCCATCCAACACCTTTGTCAATTACACCATGCAAAGAGCATCCATAGGTGACAACAGGCAAGTGGAAGAATCTTGCGGACAAGGGTCTGATGTTGGAGAGTTTAACAAAATCACCAATTCCATAATCAACATGAAAGACCTTGACAACATCTGAGATGTCATTCTGCTGAAGAACCGATCGGTACCATTTCCCGTCGCTACCTTTCGTTGCACACGGAGACCCATCACACAGTGGTACTGGGATTTGAGCAGAGAATGCATCTTCATAGTGTTCATAGAGCTGAACGCTTAGTTTCTTGAGCTCTTGTGAAAAGACACACAGTTTGCAATAGATCTTCAATGGATGAACAACTTGTGTTACAGTTACAATCTCAATTGTTCCAGGCGACAACTCTGGATACAAGTACTGCCACAACCTATCTGAATTACTGGCATGCTCCTGCTGACCATTTGTAGTCAAAAGGTCAGTTTGGATGGAGGGACTTCTTGGCAAATGCAGTGAATACGTTACAAGGATTTTGAAATTTTTACAAGGCGTATTTTTAGCAAATCCGAATTCATACATTTGTTTGGATATGCTTGGAACATCAAGAAGAATGATCCGGGATGGCATTATCACATCCTGAACACATCCAGAGATGTTTTTCCCACACAAAGATCTGATGAACTTTGAAGCACCCGCAGACCATCCACTCTCAAGACACAGTGGTGATACATTGGTCAATATACAAAGCTCTACTTTTGGAGCAAGACCGCAAAGATTGTGTGGACATTTTGTCAAAACTTCGCTTGTAGTCCAAAGTGATTTTCCATCATCAATTAGGAACACATTGTACTCATATTCAGTTTCTGAAATAATTCTTGCTCTGTGCCAAGTTCTGTCTTCATAAACCAAGCAAATTTCTCCAGGTTTGCCTTCAAAAGCATGTTGGCGCCTCCTAGGGACTTCAATGTCTTTAAGTTGTTGCCATATTTCCCTGTTCTCTTGCCCACGATTTAAATTCCCTCCAAATTCCACTAATACAGTGTGTGGGGTTAAATTTACCCTTGTGATATGAACCGTCAAACGTGATCCAACTTGAGGTAAACCAGGGATTGAACACATCTTTGCTGGGAATCAGGTCCAACAAATTGGTTAAAGTGCAAATAGGGAGAATCTAAAGAAGAGAAAACAGGAGAAAACAAAGATGATTAAGGCCTCAATTGCACTGGAGAAAATAAATGAATTTTGTTTGATCAGATCAAACAAAGGAGATATTTCCTTCTGCTCCTGATGTTTTAATCAATCATATCAGTCAGGATAAGCAACTCTGCTTTGGCAGCCAGACAACTATGCCAACCGGTTTGTGTGACAGTCCTAAATAGGGCTGTGCGATTTGGGAAAAATATCCAATTCCGTTTTTTCAATTTTTTTGACAGATATTGTGATTTCGATTTGATTTGCGAATAAATTTTGTAGTCAAGCTTCAGCTCGATAATCTGTATCGTAGCTTTTTACTGCTAAAGTGTTGTGTGTTGCTAAAATTGCTAAAAAAGTACCTGAAAAGACATTAACTTACATAAACGTTTATTCAAATTTGTTTTAAGGGTGCTTTCACACCTGTGAATCGATTCAGTTGTTCTGAAACAGAGATTACAATTGTTACATTGTTGCTCTTTGCTCTTGGAGCGGTTCGCTTTCACACTCCAAAGTTTCTAATCAAACCAAAAGAGCTAAAACAAGTCACGTGCGAGTAAACTCTCCTTACATTGGTCAGAGTGTCAGGGTTTATTTTGCAGCGTCCCGCTAAGCTGTCTGGAGAGGTGGTGGTTTGGTGGTGATTGACAGGGTGCGTGCGTGCGACGTGTCTGAGGAGAGACGCGGTGGGGAGGGGTGAGAAGGGTGCGCGATGATGCCTATTTGAGCCATAAGTCTCTCTTCATATTGCCGTATGCCTATTACATATCCATAAGACACAGTGATATAACCGCGCTCTGATCGGATCACTTTCTCACTGCAATCGAACCGCTCAAGGGTTCGTATCAATCGAGCCGAGACCACCTCATTCAAGCGATCTCGGAGCGATTACATTGGCGCGGAACAGAGCGCAATTGCCCTGTTCACATATGCCAAACGAACCGTGCTAACTGGGCAAACGAGATACGTTCCGAAACAAAAGTGTAGGTGTGAAAGCACCCTAAATGTTAAAAAATTAAACACTAATTTTCTCTAGAGCAAACAGTAAACAAACAAATTGACCATACCTTTTTGTGAACAAGTTGAACTCAATTAGGGTAGTGTAGCTTATTATAAAAACAAAACAAAAAGAATTATTATAAAAACACTCAAACTAACATGGCAGAAACAACTCTGAAACTGTACTAAGTGTCAATACTTTCAGTTGACTGATTAGCAAGACACTCATCACTCACTTGTGCCCACTCAAATGGCTAGTAAGACAATCACACACAGGTGGCAGTCACGCATTTGCTCTGGGCGGGGAAAATTAAATAATAAATATTTCATATCGCAGCCCCTTGTGAGAAGTTAATTGCAACGTTTCAAATCGCACAGCCCTAGTCCTTAATAAGGCATTGAGATATTTTATTTTTCTGCAATATACACTGCGATTATGGCACAATTTTGAATAGCTCTATATATTATTGAATAGGAATAAACTTGTAGTGGAGTGAATCAAACAAAATGCAAGAATATCTAAATAAGATGATTCACTTTTATTTTTGCTCCAGTATAATCAGATAATCAGGTACAGTATTTGAATAGGGTGTAAATCACAGGTTAACACACAATATGGTTTTATCACGATAGTTTGCCCACCAATGATAGATCATGATATCAGCAATATAATCACAAGAAAATCACCCACTATATATCATAATATTTGTAAATGAAAGAGAAAAATTCATCAAAAGGTTATAAAAGGCCTTGTGTTATTAACGGAACATATATTTTGTAGGATTGCAATATTGATGCATTTGATCCACAGTTATGAGAAGTGCCACCTTATGTACTGCTGTCTAAAGAGTAAACAGTAGCAGTGCAAGGCTTTTGTACCTCTTAAAGGAATATCAATACTTGGCTACATGAGTATTGTATCGTGGGCGGAATTATCACGGTAAATCAGCATATCAATATTTTGTCCTGCCTCTTTTATTGAATAATCAAAATGTAAATGTAAAATAACAGTGTAAATTCTTCATTGCTAATCATCAAATATAATCCCAACTCTACATTGCACATCCTGCAATGTGACTATTGCGAATGCACACATTGCTATGTCGAGGCTGAAACGATACATTGTGTAGCCCTAATGAAAATGTTTTAAAGAGCACCTATTATACATTAAAAACGGTCATTTTTTGGTTTCGGGGGTCTCCAACAACAGGCTGATATGCAGGCAAGGTCAAAAAGCACCTTCATTAATATGCATTTATTTTCACCTAATTAATCCAGCGACTCCCATATAATTCATTCAGTGATTAATTTGTTCCCAAATACCCTCCTTAGAGCGAAGCTAATCTGCGCTGATTGGACCGATGACAGTTTGTTGCGACTGGTGAAAAGCGTTTAGCACGTGACAGAAAGAATTGCCCACCACGGCTTATCATTGAAGAAGTCAGAGTGCATGTGTGAGCATACCTGCCAACAATCCAGTTTTTCCCAGGAGTCTCCCGTATTTCAGACCCATCTCCAGCCACCCTCCCATTTTGTAATTACTCCCAGAAACAACCATTATTGGTCTGTGAAGTCATGCAAACATTTGTTTGTAGAGCAGGTAGTTTGACCGCTTTCTGCCGTTTATAATTCCGAGTCATTTCTTCCATAGGCGACTGAACCGGAAGTTCTAAAACAGTCGTGAAAACAGGCGCAATTCTGCATTTTTGAATAAGGTCAATATCCAATTGCAGCAGCTGCCCGAAACGCACTTCATAGTAGTTACTAACACCACAGCACTTAAGGGGTTAAGTTCCGTATCCACATCACACCAGCACAGCTAAAGACTCGTTATCAAGACAATTCATTTGAAACACAATGAGTAGACTCTTTTATGGATTATTCAATAGTTGTAAACACAGCACACTTTATTTAAGCCTTAGCTGGATATTTTACTTCAGTTAGAGCTGTGTTACTCACTACATGGAAGGTCATTTTTTAAAACTCAATAGCGGCTCTTTAAAACTTTTTTTTGTATGCACTGAAAACTTACTTCTGAAATTGCTTGGAAAAAAAGACTAGCGAAAAATGTAGATTTCAGTCACACCCTTTATCAGGTCATCCAATTGTGAACAAATCAACAGTAACACATCTTAATGCTAGCTGTTTGGCATGGACCATGGTACGATAACCGTTTTCAAGATATACCGCGTTTTGGAAAAGAAGGTTTTAAAACGTAAGGTATGAGTAAGATTTTTTAATTTACATTTTTGTTTTTATGACAAAAATATCTCTAGTAGAAAAAAAAAATACCCAAAGATGCTATTTTAAATTTGAAAGAAATCAGTGTTTTTGAAACAAATGAAGACAAAATATAATAAATCTTTTAAAATAATAGAATATATTGTTTTCAAAAGGGGAATTTTTTTTTTTACCAAGACATTTAAAAAGAATATATTTTAGAGCAGTGAGCACAATACCATGAAACCGTGATATTTTTATCCAAGGTTATTATCATACCGTCAGAATCTTATACTGACCCATGCCTACTAGCTGTAAGCAAAGCCTAAAACCATGTTTTAAAATTTATATGCAGTTACATGAATTTTTATTTTGAAGATGTGGGACTTCACTGCACTCAAATGTGAATGCAGATAAAAACATGTTCGATATGAAGTGCCACTGCAAACACCAATAACACATCACATCTAAATACTATACAAGTTATTTGAGAGTTTGCACTTAAATTCAAAATTTGAAAAAGAGAGAAAATATCCAGTGAGCGGCAGTTCTGTGGACGCAAATGCCTTGTTGATGCCAGAGGTCAGAGGAGAATGGCCAGACTGGTTCCAGCTGATAGAAAGGCAACAGTAACTGAAATAACCACTCGCCTCAACCGAGGTCTACAGAAGAGCATCTCTGAACACGTCCAACCTTAAGGCGGATGGGCTACAGTAACAGAAGACCACACCGGGTGTAACTCCTGTCAGCTAAGAACAGGAAACTGAGGCTACAATTCACACAGGCTCACCAAAATTGGCCAATAGAAGACTGGAAAAATGTTGCCTGATCTGATGAGTCTCAATTTCTGCTGCGACATTCAGATGATAGGGTCAGAATTTGGCATCTACAACATGAAAGCATACATCCATCCTGCCTTGTATCAACAGTTCAGGCTGGTGGTAAATTGGTGTGGGGGATATTTTCTGGGCACACTTTGGGCCAATTGAGTACATTGTTGAATCTATACCACAAAGAATTAAGACAGTTTCTAAGGGAAAAAGAGGACCAACCCAGTGCTAGTAAGATGTAGCTAATAAAGTGGTCGGTGAGTGAAAATTACATGCATGTCAGTTAGCCAGGTAATGATGACACTTTTCAACAATAAATAGCATTATTATGGTATTATATGGTATAGTAAGTAAGTACTTGATTGCATTGATGAACCACTAATAGCATCACAATGCAAAACAGAGAAGTCAATCAGTCACTCCTTAATCAAGCATTTTTATTTTTTATTTTTTGCAAATTCCAAATGGTGAAATCATTTTATCAGCCAATGACTATCAAAGTACAACACTGCTCACCGTCAACTAAATGGTGCTAATGTGGTTTTTAAGTCAAACTTGTGATGTGATTTCTGACTGAATATTCAAAGCTCCCAGGGCGGTTAATGGCAAACAATATAGGGAGCGTGTCACAAGTTGTCACTGAACGAATGTGCGAACTTCAAGGTCTGGAACTACCAAAACAAAACAGTTGAACAGCTCCATTACTCAACCAGATGAACCCCATTTCAATTGCGTGATTCGAGCGTGCACTCATACAATTAAGTAAACGAAAACTTACCAGATGAATCTCTCTCCCCATCAAATACTCGGTTGCCAAGAATGACCGTCTCAACAGTTCTTATAAAGTAGTCTACTGAGAACACACGATATCAAAACACGCCACTGTGATGTTTCAGCAAATCAGTCACATTTACTACGTCAATTAAGAGCGCGCGTCACGTGATCTGCACGCTTGTTTGTGCGTGACCTCGTTAAAAAATTTACTTGCGTAAAAACTAACTAACTATTGCCATTGTAATATCATTATTATTGTAGAAGTTATTTTCACGTGCGTTATTAAATATATAAGCTATATGGGCCTATATAATAATAATAATACAAAAAGACTATTTAAAAGTCCACATATTATATAATTTGTAAGCATCATAATATGGATAATACGAAACCTGCAAGAACAATAAATAAATATGAAAATATATTAATAAATGAGTAAATAAATCCATAAATTCATGCATAAATAAAATAAAAAATAATATGCAAATAAATGAAAAAATAAGTCTATAAATTTTTGTATAAATAAAATAATACATAAATATGCAAATATATGAGTAAATGAATAAATATCCATAAACTCCTGCATAATTAAAATAATAAATAAAGAAATATACAAATATACAAATAAATGAGTGAATACATCCATAAGTTCCTGCATATATCAAACAATAATAAAAGATTGCATATTTATTTGCTTTATTTATGCAGGATTTATGGATTATTTACTCAATTTCATTTATTTATTATATATATGTGCGTGGAACTGGAAAAAAAATACAATAATAGCATTTAATACTGCAACAAAAATAGAACTGTCAGTTATCAACATCCCATTTTGAAAGTCGTGTTAATTTATTTTAACATGTCAGTATTAACTTATGCTCGACCGTAAACTTTTAAAGTACAGAATTTCATGAAAACAATGTTTATTATATTACAAATTAACTCTGTAAACTGTTAAAAAAAAGTGCAGATTATCGCTAGTCTTTTTGAAGTGTCTTACTGGCGTCTTTCGGGTTGTATTTCAACTTTAATGCGCCTTTTCAATAGAAAAATAAAAACAAAGCAGCTGCTAAGAGCCAATGGATCCAAAATGGCGGAATCGCTGAGCGCTGCTCAAACACGCGTTCGATTGCTATGGCAACTGTGGAACGTTAGAATGATGCTCGGGCAAAAAGAATTTCTTCAGTTCATTTCGAGATAAGTTAGCCGTTCAGTACAGTCAGTTATCGATATTAGTGCTAGACGGTAGACGCTATGGCGAGCAAACAGAGAAATATGGCTTTCGTCGACGACGAATTACACTCTTCAGAAACTCCATTCACAGTTCATGTTGAATCGCTAATTATAGATATGAACATGGATGTTGAAGTTTCCAACTACACTTGTGAGGATCAGGGTGGCATGAATGCCTCTCCTGAACCCACAGAAGACAACAACTCAACAGGTAACTAACTTTCTTTCAAGTGACAAAAGATATCTCAAGTTTTCACTGAAATGATCTGTTTTCTGAAAATATGAAACTTTTATTATGATTGACCAACACACTGCAGAAATGTAGGACAACAGAGACATGTTTAACAGTGCTTTCACAACAACTTTCTTTGTAATTACAATGCTGATTGCTTTGGCTTTGTGGATACTATTACTAACTGGTTAAGTTTTAAACATTTACCCTCTCTGACAATCCAATACTTGGGGATAGTTTACCTAAAAGTTTAAATGTACTTTCTATTTACTCACCGTCAAAGGTGTAAGTTTGTTTCATTTGAACACAAAAGAAGATAAATTGAAGAAAGGTGAAAACTTGTAATCATAGTATTTGTTTTTCCAACTGTGGAGGTCAGTGATTACAGCTTTCTTCAACGTATTTTCTTTTGTGTTGAGCAGATAAATGGTATTTAATTTGTAATTCTCTCTTGACTTGGCACAAAATGTCAAGCTATAATCCAGCTTTAATGGCAACGACTGAGATGCTCATTTTATACCAATCATGATATAAACAGTTCACCTACTTATTGTGATACTGTTTCAAGACTGTTTAATTTGCCGTTTCTATTACATTTTCTTGTTTATTTAGCTTTTGTTATAGTTTGTGGAGTGTGTTGCAACATTAGAATGTATTTATCATTGAAAACAGTGGAAATATTTTCAAAATAACTAAAAGGTTCTCTTTAATTTCAGGTACATACAACTAATGTAGAATTTACAGTGAACTGACTCCAATATTGTAGAATAATGTAAATGCTGAATGTGATTGGAAACATTTGATTCTGTTTCTAAATGCTGTTTAAACTTCTTAAAGCACTTTCAGAGTTATAACCAATGTAATATAGAGTTGACTGAATTACAAATAATATTCATGCAACAGTTTATATAACTCAGTAAACACACAAACAGATGATTTATTCATTTATATCTATCTATCTATCTATCTATCTATCTATCTATCTATCTATCTATCTATCTATCTATCTATCTATCTATCTATCTATCTATCTATCTATATATAAGATTATATATTATTCTAATTATTTCATGACATTCAAATCTTAATGTATGTTTGAGGAGGTGGAAACAGTCAAAAATAGTTATAATGGGAGTCTTTAAGCTACAAACATACAGACTGTTATTAGGGCTGGGCGATTAATCTAAAAGTAATCGAAATCGACATTCAGATGCTATAATCGATCCAATTTTTCCAGGTCAATTTTTTCTATTACTTTCCCTTCCGAGTGTGGAGTCATGTGACCTCACTTTGTTAAAGCTGAATAATGCTTATTATATTATTCTGATATTATACTTCTGCCAAGGGCACGTGTACAGTTAGGCTTACCTTTCAAAAAAATTTACTTAGACGCCACAACAACTTTAGGCGCAAGCTTTGTGATTAGTCGGCTTGGTAGCAGTGAAGACAGTGGCTGGCGCAGAGACAAATTTTAAGCAATGTGTGTTTTAATTTCAGTTGTTCAGCGTTGTTGTTCAATAAATAATCATAGATAGTAGATAGTGTGTGTTTACTTCAATTTTTTTAAAATCAAGTAATGCACCCTTTATTCAGAAATCTCTCTAACATGAGCATATTTACTGTCCAAAACCTGTCAGTGAACTGTGAGGGCAAAGCATGAAATAAATAAATAAAATAATCGTTTGTTAATCGTAATCGAGTTAAAATGTTCACTTAATCAAGATTTAGATTTTAGGGCAAATTGCCCAGCTCTAACTGTTATACATACATACATGTACTTGACATAAGTTGTGTTCAATTGTGCACTAAATGCACCCGCAAATCTATATATATTGATTATCCATGTCTAAACAGTGTTTGAAGATGTCAATGATTGTTTTTTTTTTCCAGAGGTTGGATATAATCCAACTGATTCGGAGGAATTGTGTGACACGATTCCAAGTGTTCCTTCATCAGAAACTGAATTGGATATGGTTGATCCGGAAGGCGTCCCAGGTCCAAGCAGTTCTGAACAGGAGCCTGTGTGTACAGCAAGTCTGGAGGTCGACATCAGTGATGCCAGGAACCCAACAGGTAAATGTCAACATTTGAGCATTTAAGACGCAATATTGCAATATGGTAGAAATAGAAATTGCTTACAATCAAGTCTAATTATGCAGTATGTGGTTGGAGATAACATATCATACTTATAATTTTTTTCAGAAGTTCCAGAAGTGACGAAAATTGGCAAATTCTTCTCCTTCTTTGGAAAGCTTTTTGGGTTCACGGCACAGCCTGAGACAGATCCTGAATTGCTGAGTGTTTCAGTGGAAAGTGATTATGAATCAGCTTCTGAAATGGATGAGGTTGACATGGAGCAGTCATGTGTTCCCGAGCCAGAAACTAAATTGGATCTGGTTGATCCTGAAGGTGTCCCAGTTCCAAGGAGTTCTGAACAGGAACCAGTGTTTAGAGAAACTCTATATGTCGACCTCATCAAACCTCACACTTCCATCAACTTGAAGAGGTCTGTGTTGGTTTCTACACTTCTGAAGGAACCAGCAGAGCCTTCAGCAGAAGAAGTGGAGAGCAGCAGTGGGATTGACCAGGATGGCATCAATGCTTCTCCTGAAATCCCCCAGATGGACAGACCAACAGGTAAATATATCAACAGTCTTTGAGATTCAATATTGCAATGGCATACAAGTCATTCTAATTAAGCTAATATGCAATTTGTGGTTGAAGATAACACATAACCTCTAATATTTTTACAGAAGTACCTGAAATGTGGAAGGCAACAGCAGACCTCCCAATGATTTATGGGTTCTTAGCACAGCATCAGACAGATCCAGATGTTGCTGAGATGAGTGTTTCAGAGGAAAGTGATTATGAATCAGCTTCTGAAACGGATGAGGTCGACATGGAGCAATCAAGTGTTCCTGAGCCAGAAACTGAATTGGATCTGGTTGATCCGGAAGGTGTCCCAGTTCCAAGGGGTTCTGAACAGGAACCTGTGTTCAGAGAAACTCTATATGTCGACCTCATCAAACCTCACACTTCCTTCAACTTGAAGAGGTCTGTGTTGGTTTCTACACTTCTGAAGGAACCAGCAGAGCCTTCAGCAGAAGAAGTGGAGAGCAGCAGTGGGATTGACCAGGATGGCATCAGTGCTTCTCCTGAAATCCCACAGGTGGACAGACCAACAGGTAAGTATATCAACGGTCTTTATGAGAAACAATATTGCAATGGCATACAAGTCATTCTAATTAAGCTAATATGCAATCTGTGGTTGAAGATAACACATAACCTCTAATATTTTTACAGAAGTACCTGAAATGTGGAAGGCAACAGCAGACCTCCTAATGATTTATGGGTTCTCAGCACAGCATCAGACAGATCCAGATGTTGCTGAGATGATAAGTGTTTCAGAAGCAAACGATTATGAATCAGCTTCTGAAATGGATGAGGTCGACATGGAGCAGTCATGTGTTCCTGAGCCAGAGGCTGAATTGGATCTGGTTGATCCAGAAGGTGTCCCAGGTCCAAGCAGCTCTGAACAGGAACCAGTGTTTAGAGAAACTCTATATGTCCACCTCATCAAACCTCACACTTCCATCAACTTGAAGAGGTCTGTGTTGGTTTCTACACTTATAAAAGAACCAGCAGAGCCT